TAAGCTTAACAACCCTAACCCAGAAAACCCTCATCCTAAACACCGTAAACTCAAACCCTGAAAACACTAAACCTAACCCTTAAAACCTTATCCCTAAATACCTTACACCTTAACGTCTAACAACTTGGAACCCTAGTTAGGAGTTAACCAGAGGCTACATACTGTCATCGCAGACCATGTGACGCACATGGTGAGGGGCTGCGCCCCCTCAACCCCCCGCTTTGTTTTCAATTCCATACAATGCCAGCAAAGTCATTTTGTGTTTTAGCAAGAAGCTACATGTTGTCATCATCGACCATGTTATGCAAATGGGAGGCCCCAACCCCCCGCTTGATTTAAAGCCAACACAATGCCTGTGAAACCCTTCGGTTAGGAACCAACCAGAAGCTTCATGCTCTCATGACCGAAGCTGTGATGCAGATGGGGGGATGGGGGCTGCGCCGCCCCCCCACCCCCCACACCCTCGCAATATGTTCAAACCAACAAAATTAATCCCTAAACCTCAATGAGGTTTATTGTTATTAAGATCATTACTATTGTCATCCTCAACAGTGTTATTCTTATTGTTATGCTGTTGTTTTTCCACTATTGTCATTCTATCATTATTGTATCAGCTATAATCTTCTGATTTGTCATTTGCGTATGATATTAGTGTTTTTCACTTTTTCTTATCATTGTTATTCTCATGACTGTTATTCGCACGATGTTGACTATGATTACGGTTACACTCTTCTTCTTCTTCTTCTCATGAGCATTGTTATCGCGAAAGCTCCCTGCGAAGGGAGCTGAGTTTAGTGCCTCAGAATGAGCTTGGGTCGCGGAGGGTTTTTCTTGGAAATCATCGCGAACAAATTACAGAGGCTTCCTTGGGATCTCCGGGGCGGATCTTGGGGGGCTCTTGGGGGATCTTGGGGGCATCTTGTGGGGAGCCGGCGGGCATCTGCTTTGCAATCCTGTTCACACACGTCAGTCTTTCTAGTCGTGTGTCGCCAGCTCGGGGCAATTTTGGGGGTTATGCTGGCTGTGGGTAGGAAAGTTCGGGTTCATTCCGTGCAAGTGGGCGGTCCTGTCCGCACATTACTCTTACTACTGTCAGATGTTACGGCTACTATGACATTACGTATCAGTATGATGATGCTGATGATGATGATGATAATGGTGATGATGATGATGATGCCTACCGCCTCCCCGCAATTTCAATGACAGTTTACCTTGCTCGGACAACGAGCTTCCAAAGCCGCCGACTTCCAAAATCAATGACAGTTCTACGCTTCTCAACAACAAACTTCCAAAAGCGATGAGAGTTCTGCATTTTTCGACGAGAAGTCTACAAATTCGATGACAGTTCCAGGTATGGGATAGGGGTTAAAAAAAAATTAAATAAGGATCAAAAAAAATTAAATAAGGATCAAAAAAAAATTAAATAAGGATCAAAAAAAATTAAACGGGTATCCGCGAAAGGAAGGGGAAAAAGGAAGGAAAGAAAGACAGAGAGAGAGAGAAGGAAAGAAAGAAAGAAAGAACGAACTAAAGAAAGAAAGAAAGGAAGGAAGAAAGACAGAACGAAAGAAAGAACGAAATAAAGAAATAAAGAAACAACAAAAGAAAGAAATAAAGAAAGAACAAAAGAAAGAAAGAAAGAAAGCCATGCAAGAAAGAACGAGAGAGAGAACGAAAGAACGAAAGCAAAAACGAAAGAAAGAACGAACGCAATAACGAAAGAAAGAACGAACCAAAGAAAGAACGAAATAAATCAAACCAGAAAGAAAGCAAGAAAGAAAGGAAGGGAGTATGAGATGAACAAAGAAAGAACAACAGAAAGAAAGAAAAGAAATGAACGAGCGAAAGACAGAAAGAAGTCCATACTAAAAAAGCAAAGTTGGAAAAGACGAAAGAGAAAGAATATGAAAGAATCACAGAAACAAAGATACAAGCAACAGGATACTACATAGTCCAATCGAATTTACCATAATATCGTAATGTACCGTAACATAATATGTCATAATGTAACCTAATGTTATAAAATATACTACATATTATGTTGTAAATATACACACTGTATTGTACTATGTTACAATGTACTACACTATAAACTAAGATGTTGTTTTGTTCTATGTCATCTTCTGTTATATTGCATTGTTGTATTTTTAGTATGCTATTATATGCTATAAGAAGCAAGGTTCTGTTATGTCAGAAAATGTCACACCATTTTTGTGTTGTCGAACCATCTTATGTCGTTCTTCTGGTTTACTATGTTATATATATTAGGTTAGAATGCTAACGGAAGAAGAGACACGAACAGGCGCGGAAGAACAAAACACCCGCCGCCGCGCTTTTCGAGACGTGCAAGCTTGATTCAAAGAGTGTTTTCGAAGCCCATCATGTGAACGTTGTCTCTGCAAATGGGGGGGGCTGCGCCCCCCCCAACCCCCCCGCTGTTTTAAGCCGTGCAGGGTTGCTTTGAAGCATATGCCTTTTTTTGAACCCCAGCAAATGAGGGCGTCTCCGCCCTTGTAGATACATGCTGAACCAGAATCGCCAAATGAGGGGCGTGTTTAAGATAGATGATGAAGCGGAATACCAGCAACAGCTACAACAGGAAATCCGTCCTAAATGTGAAATTGGAAGGAAAATTTGATTTTCCCGAGTAAAGCCGTGCAGGGTTGCTTTGAAGCATATGCCCTTTTTTGAACCCCAGCAAATGAGGGTGTCTCCGCCCTTGTAGATACATGCTGAACCAGAGTCGCCAAATGAGAGGCGTGTTTAAGATAGATGATGAAGCGGAATACCAGCAACAGCTACAACAAGAAATCCGTCCTAAATGTGAAATTGGAAGGAAAATTTGATTTTCCCGAGGAACAACCGTATGTTGTCCTTCTGAAAACCTGAAGAAATGACACGAACGCCATAGGTAATAGGAAATAGGTTTTTCCTACGAAAAATCAAGGAAAACTTAGGGAAATACCACGGAATCCGCAGGAATATCGTGTTTTCCAGAGCAAAAACCAGACAGATCCTAAGGAAACACAAGAAAATCCGTAGGAAAACAGTGTTTTCCATTGGAAAAATTCAGGAATTGCTGTATTTCAAGTGATTTAATTTTTTTTTGATCCTTATTTTATTTTTTTTGATGCCCCTGCCCCAGGAATTGCTCTATTTTGCGTGATTTAATTTTTTTTTGATCCTTATTTTAATTTTTTTTGATCTTTCCATTTAATTTTTTTTGATCCTTATTTAATTTTTTTTTGATCCCTCACCCGTGGTATCTCGACACTAAGACCAAGCAAAAAAGGAACATGCCCCTCCCCCAAAAAACGCGCCAATTAATTCCGGTTGGCCTTTACTTGGGCTGCCGCCGGAACATGTGCAGCAAGAATGCAGGAGCCATCAGAAGGTGCCACGACGGGCTGGCCAGACATAGGAACCAGGCGGGCCAGAGATTTTACCCCAAAGCCCGAAAAGGCATTGGGGGAGAAGGCCAGGGACCAGTCACCTGGAGGCCGAGGCGAAGTTCGGAAGCCTTCCCCTCTGAAGGTCTTTGCGCAGGTGGATGTTTTCCAAAACAGTTGCATCATCTAAACTTCGAAAGCTGATCAAAGCCACAGCAGCAAGGCCCAGAGTGCACAGTGGCTTTTTTTTTCTGTGCCCTGGCAGGCTCTCGAAGTTGCTGACAATCATGATTTATTTGGGTTGCTATGTACTCACAGTGCTTCGTGTATTGCAGGGTTACATCCCGTTTCAAGTTTACAAGCGGATTGCCTGCTTGAGTGCAGACTCCTTTCGCTGATCCAGCTCGACCAACGACAAACTTCCGACGGTTCCGTGTCATAAACCTAACATGCAAAGCCCAAGTATACATCTGCACGCGTTGACATGGATGTCCCATGAAGAGGATTGCAGTTGAAAGCTGAAAACCGATAGCATGTTCGAAGTTCCCCATTTGCCAGGATGTGTCCTTAGGCTGGTTCTGTATGATCTGTCCTTGTTATTAGCAATCGTTGCTCTGCCCTCCGGCCCATCTCCAACCTTCGTCCCCTTTGCCAGTTCTAACCAGCGCAAACGAATCCACCGAAGTCCGCATCCATGCGGACGGCCATGCATTGCACAAGAAGACGTCAACTGTGTAACCATTTCAAGGCAGTGGCAATGCAACAATCTCATCCTGAAATCATTGACCATCGTTTATTGAGTCTCATGTACTGCAACTGTGTTAGTAGCTGTCGTGCCTTGGCACTGTGGGCTTCGTCCATGTCCAGCCAAGTGTAGCCGCAAGCATGGCTTGTGATAAGCACTGCCCCCACTCTCCGGAGGCTCTCCATCTCGCTCCGGTGACAGATCGTTTGATTTTGTAAGCGTTCCTAAGCTTTCTCCCTTTCGCTTGAGTATATGCATGCTAGGCTTTGCCTGTGCCTCATGCTGACGTCAGTCCAACGAAGCTTTCTGCTACCAAGGCCGTGTACATTTGGAGCAGGAGCTTGCGTGAGAACGAGATCTCGGGACGCCTGCATTGTCCAAGTTGCTCCCGTCAACAGGCTCCACTGCAGAAATAGCAGCCGCTGATAAAGGAATTCTGGAATTCTCTTTCTTGGCGCAAGGTAGTGCTGCCCCAAGCGTAAGATTCGCTGCGCCACATGCTCCTTGTTGCAGGAAGTCCGTTGAGATCCAAACCTTCTTGACAGCACCGCGTCGGGACGAGGCCAGACATGCACACCTGCACACCAAGCTGTGTAATCCTAGTCACTGAGCAGGATGGGGCCAGGAGCATCCTTTGCATGACGAGCCAGTTCTCCCAGGAGGGAAGAGCTTTGAACCGCTTGAACCGGTGGCCCTTTTCTCTTGGCGAGGAGCCTCAACTTGCACTCCAAGCTTCGTCCCTGAGCTGGTCAGAGGTGGTCAGCTGTGACTTCGAGGCCAATCTGGTACTGCAGGATTCTTTAGGGGAAGCATACTGTGAGAGCCGGCCAGGCTGACTGGTGTGGGTGGTCTACTGATGTCAACGCATGGGAGAGACGTTCCGGCGATACTCCTACTTCAACTACGGGACCAGAGAAGGCGGCAGATGGCCAGTGGTACATTTACACAGAGGCGAGCTCCAACTCCAACAAGGCAGGAATCACTGTGCATGCACCATAGTCGCTTGCGCACCCACCCCGCAGGAGTTCATCCTCAGCAGTGGCATGTTCGACCCGGCACCAGCAATGCGGCAGCTTCACTTCCATTTTCTAATGTTTGGGAGATTCTTGAACGCGGGCGGCAGCTTGCGACTTGAGACTTTGAGCAGCAGTGGCTGGACACAGCTGTGGTCACGCAGCGGGCAGCAAGGAAAAGAATGGGGCCTGGCATTGGTGAGTCTACCGCAGGATGCCAGGGCTGTGCGCTTCATCGGCACCACCGGCGACGGTGCAAGGAGTGATATTGCTCTGGATGCCATCGCAACAGGGCTGCCATGGCTGCCCACGGCGGAGTTTCGTCAGCTCTCCTGTGATTTCAGTTTCGATACCTGCCTTTGGCAGAACACTGGTGTGGCTTCGTGGCAGCTTGCTGTTGGGCAGGGGAATGACGATGGCCCATTGCTGGAGGCCACATGGAATGGCACTCAAGGAGAACCAATGTTGCAGACTTCGGTGCTGTTTAACACCACCGAGGAGAAGGCCTTGGTTGTTGACTATCAGCTATCCGGCTCGGATTCTGTGGTCTTGGAGGTCCAGTGCCAAACCTCAGCTGGCGACTGGCAGCGATTGCTGTCAGAGACTGGAGGCCGCAGCTCCGTTTGGCATAGCGCCATCGTCACCATCCCTGCTTCTACGGTGGGCCTCCGCTTGCTTGCCAATATCACCAGCGAGGCAGATGTTGTTCGAATCGACACTGTCCATGCAGCGAACATTCTGCCCGACTGGCGCGGCATCGCTTGTGACTTTGAGTCCGACTTCTGTGCTTGGTCCACCGGTGTGAACCCATGGTTTCCACGATCAGGGAGTACTCCTAGCTCAAGCACTGGACCTTCGAGGGCTGCAGAAGGTGAATGGTACATCTTCACAGAGGCCAGTGACAATGCGAATAAGGCAGGACCAGCTAGCAAAGCAATTCACGAGGCACTATATGTACAAGGTTTCCACAAGCCCGCTTGCAGGAGTTCATCCTCACCAGTGACCTGTTCGACACGTCACCAGCAACCCGGCAGCTCCGCTTCAATTTCCATATGCTTGGGGCAGACATGGGCAGCTTGCGATTTGAGACTTTGCGCAGCAGTGGCTGGACACAGCTGTGGTCACGCAGCGGAGAGCAAGGAACAGAATGGCGCCTGGAAGTGGTGAGTCTACCACAGGATGCCAGGGCTGTGCGTTTCGTCGGCACCACCGGCAACGACTGGAAGAGTGATATTGCTCTGGATGCCATCGCACCAGAGCTGCCCACGATGGAGTTTCGTCAGGTCTCCTGTGATTTCAGTTTTGATACTTGCCTCTGGAAGAACGCTGGAGCCGCTGATTGGCAGCTGGCCGCAGGACCAGGGCATCAAAACGGCCAGTGGCTGGAGGCCGCGCAGAATGGCTACCAAGCTTCAGAATGGATTTTGGAGACTGCGCGTGAGTTCAATACCACAGAGGAGAAGGACTTAGTTTTCGATTATCAGATGTCGGGCTCCGACAGCACCTTGGCTTTGGAGGTGCAGCACAGAACTTCAGCGGGGAACTGGCAACGCTTGTTCCTGAAGACAGATGACCAAGGCAATGTTTGGCATACTGCTATAGTTAGCATCCCCGCCGCGAGCGTGGGCCTTCGATTTGTGGCCAATGTCACCAAGGAGAACGATACTGTTCGCATCGACACGCTCCTTGACCCGCCCGTTCTGAGCGACTTCAGGGAGGTTTCCTGTGACTTTGAGTCCAACTACTGTGCTTGGTTCAACGGTGTGAAGACATGGTCTCCGCGATCAGGGAGTACTCCTAGCGAAGGCACTGGACCTTCGAGGGCTGCAGAAGGTGACTGGTACATCTACACGGAGGCGAGCCCAGCGAGCTCCAACTCCAACGAGGCAGGAATCATTCATGCACCATAGTCAGTTGCGTGCAAACACCCCGCAGGAGTTCATCCTCAGCAGTGGCGTGTTTGACCTGTCACCAGCAACTCGGCAGCTCCACTTCAATTTCCATATGCTTGGGGCAGACATGGGCAGCTTGCGACTTGAGACTTTGCACAGCAGTGGCTGGACACAGCTGTGGTCACGCAGTGGAGAGCAAGGAACAGACTGGGGCCTGGCAGTGGTGAGTCTACCACAGGATGCCAGGGCTGTGCGTTTCGTCGGCACCACCGGCGACGGCTGGGCGAGCGATATTGCTCTGGATGCCATCGCAACAGGGCTGCCCACGGTGGAGTTTCGTCAGCTCTCCTGTAATTTCAGTTTTGATACTTGCCTCTGGAAGAACGCTGGAGCCGCTGATTGGCAGCTGGCCGCAGGACAAGGGCATCAAAACGGCCAGTGGCTGGAGGCCACGCAGAATGGCTACCAAGCTTCAGAATGGATTTTGGAGACTGCGTGTGAGTTCAATACCACAGAGGAGAAGGCTTTAGTTTTCGATTATCAGATGTCGGGCTCCGACACCTTGGCTTTGGAGTTGCAGCACAGAACTTCAGCGAGTGACTGGCAACGCTTGTTCCTGAAGACAGATGACCAAGGCAATGTTTGGCATACTGCTATAGTTAGCATCCCCGCCGCGAGCGTGGGCCTTCGATTTGTGGCCAATGTCACCAAGGAGAACGATACTGTTCGCATCGACACGCTCCATGACCAGCCCGTTCTGAGCGACTTCACGGTCGCAGGTTTGGAGGACATAAGCTGCAACTTCGAGCACACATCGTGCTTATGGACAGGAGGCTGGAAGCGCCACAGCGGCCCCACACCAAGCAGTTATGGCGACTTCACCGGCCCTAAGGCAGCTTTCCGGGGCGACATGTACGTCTACACGGAAGGGCATGACGTGGAAATTGGCCAGGCAAAGGGTTTCTTAGGTGAAGCTGATGCTGCCATGTTCTCCAATGTATCTCTTTCCTTCACCCGTGCAGGATGTCATTTTCACGAGCCCGCGCTTCCCTAAGACCGCGAACACCTCCTACCTGGAGTTCGCCTACCATATGTATGGTAGTGGCATTGGCCTCCTGGAGCTGCAGTACCTGCAGGAACGGGAACGTCGCTGGACCACCCGCTGGTCGCGGCAAGGATCCCAGGGAAGGACATGGCTCCAAGCCAAGGTGACACTGCCAAGTGGCGTGGAAATGCTAAGGTTCGTGAGCTCCGCAGAAAACTATGAGGCTGATGCAGCCGTGGACTCCGTGGTCGCTTGGTCTCCCCAAGAGCCGGTCCCCGAATTCCTGAGCCTTTGCTCTGGTGGCTTCCATAATTGCGCGGTGCTCACAAGCACCGGCCAGCTGAAATGCTGGGGCGGGTCCAGTTATGGAAAACTGGGCTCCGGCGCTGAAAACGACGTGGGCAATGCCCCGAACCAGATGGGCGCCGCGCTGCCGGCCGTGGAGCTCCCGGAGCCGTCGCAGGTGATGCAGGTTGCGTGCGGTTATCGGAACACCTGCGTAGTTCTCCACACAGGCGCTTTGCACTGCTTTGGAGACAATGGTTATGGCCAACTGGGCTTGGGCCACAGCAATAGCATCGGAGATGAGCCTGGGGAGATGGGCAACCAGCTTCCACCTGTAGACCTGGGCAGCGGCGTGCAGGTGCTCCAGCTTGCTATGAGTGTCAGCCATTCCTGCGCGCTGCTTAAGGGCGGTACCATCAAATGCTTTGGGGATGGATGGCTCCTGGGTTTGGGAGACACGTGCGGGCCTCAGAGCACAGGCGCAGTGGCTTCCTTTGTTTCAAACTTTCTGAAGGGGATTGTTGAGTTGTTGAGTGCTGTCACTACCCATTTAAGCTGAGAACGAATCGTGGCGACGACCCCGATGAGATGGGCTCGGCTCTCCCGACCGTCGACCTGGGCATGGACTTTGAAGCCGTGCAGCTGGCTGCAGGGACTTATCATACGTGTGCCCTATCGAGCCAAGGCAAGATCAAGTGTTGGGGATGGGGGGCGTACCTCGGACTAGGCCTCTCAGGCGGATGGGTCGGCACTGGGCCCCAGGAGATGGGGGAAAATCTGCCATTCCTGGACTTGGGGCCGCTTCCGGCACAGCAGATCGCGACCAAATGGGAGTCTACCTGTGCTGCCGCTCAACTGCATGTTCCGAATGTTCCGGTTTCTGCAGCCATTGCGCAAGCGCAGTAAGGATGCACGCACACGCATGTGGCAGGTACTGGCTGATGGCTCTGTGCGCTGCTGGGGGCTGAACGACAAGGGTCAGCTGGGAAACGCTGGCACAGAATTTGCCGGCGACGACCCAGGCGAAATGGGCGCTGCCCTTCCAGTGACCGAACTGGGCGATGGCGTGGTTGTGCAGCAGATTGCTTCCGGCAATGATCACACGTGCGCTATCCTGCAAGATGCGTCCCTAAAGTGTTGGGGCTGGGGAGTTCATGGCCAGCCAGGGCCTTGGACAGAGTGTTCTTGTTCTTGTTGGACCAAATCATGTCTGCTCCTGTTGGCTCCTGTCGGCTTCCTGCAGCTTCCATGAAGGCCCATAACTCATGACAGCCACGGGCAACTGGTCTCGAAAGGAGTCCAATCGTTGGGCCGGAAACCCTAGCCTTGCCGCAGCAGGCCCCCTAAACTGTAGCATGCCGTGGCAAGCACGAATTGACGTTAGCCGGCCAGGGCAAGAGTGAAGAGTGTTGTTTTTCCACCGTGACGTGGCCACCTGGCTCCTGAAGCATGCGCAGTCAGAGTGCAAGCCAGGCATCAAGATCAACATCTTTCGCCTGAAAGCGGAACGCACCTATTCTCAAATGAAATTGCAGCAGCTCACTTGTCGTGCGGAGGCTCCAAACGGAGGCTCCCCGAATTCCGAATGCATAGCCTGATGAAACGGCCGGAGGAGATGGGCCCTTTACACACGAAGAACAAGAAGTCAAAGTAGGCTGAAACTGGAGTGGAACCATGGAACATCATGGAAGCAATGTTCCGGATCTGTAAGCCTTATACTGCTGCCGTGACCTCGGATGCATCCATATGTGTGTGAACAGCTTCTCTGAGGCTTGGACAAGGTACCTCCGAAAATCTGGGCGACGAGCCTTCGGAGCTGGGCTCTAACCTGCATGCCGTTGACTTTGGCAACCACGAGGTGCGGGCTGTGAGTGCAGGCTATGCCCACACCTGCGTGTTGCTGGACGACGATTCCACCAGGACCCCGCAGCCTGAAATTTGCAGGTCCTAAGCATGCATCCGCGCATTCACAGGGGTCCCTCCCAAATCAGGTGCTTTGGCTTCGGCGCTTATGGTTCGCTGGGCCAAGGGAGCAGCCTCAGCATTGGTGCTACGCAGGGCCAGATGGGCGCGGCCTTAGCAGTCACGGAGCTCTTCGTGGTGACACTCGGCACAGGCTTGGAGGGCCTCAGCTTATCAGGAGACTCCCAAAGCATCCTGCAAGTGCAGCACGAGGGCGTGGTGGGCCTGATCTGTGACGATGGCTTTGACAGTACTGTGGCACAAGTAGCCTGCCGCGATCTCGGCATGGCTGGTGGCGTGGCCCTGACCGCGAATGTGCACACCGGCATCATTCTGGCAGACAACGTGCGCTGCACCGGTGCCGAGGTAAGCCTACGTGACTGCAGCTTCCGCGGCTGGCATTTGCATGACTGCACTCAGCAGGAAGCCGCAGGCCCACATTTCTGGGTTGGCGGCACTTTCGCAGCCTTTTTCTCTATGTTTGCCGGAAATCTTTTGGGGGTGGCAGCAAGCAAGCCAGCAAGCCAGCAGGCAAGGCAGAAGACCAACAAGCAAACACACAGGCAGGCAAGCAGGCAAAGAACTCGTCATCACAGTACGCGGATGTGGCCTCGACCACATGTCCAGGCATCATGTAGACATAGGCATCCCAAAGCCCTATGTAAAGGAAAGATAACACAAGACAAATCCCCTGAAGAATTCCGGACCCGAGAATTGCAGCTTTATACGGTAGCTACGGCGTCCGCAGGCCTACTACCAGGCAGATCCAGAAGATTCTGTACTTGGCAGTATTTGGAAACCCAAGCCGGAAAAAATGTGGTGGAACACGGAAAACACTGCTCTCAAATCACTTCTGGGAAGGAATGGTGCGGGAATGTTACTAATCCTTTGTCCGAACCTAATGAATGTTGCCGTTGTAAGAGACGCCTTGTGCTGATGCCACTGTTGGAGGCGTCCAATGTCAGCTCGATGCCTGGAGCGAGTACACAGCTCCCGGAAGTCCACCCGCACGTCAAGATGCTGCCATGATATGGGACGATGAGACCGAAACTGCACTCGTATTCGCGGGCCATGCCAGCGCTGCCTTTCATTACTACACAGATTTGTGGCGCTATGACTGGCCACAGAGGCGTTGGACAGAAATTCTTGTGCCCAGCATGGACCCCAAGCCCAAGACCCGGTCCGGGCACGCAGCTATTTGGGACGGAGAGTCCAAGTCGATGTTTATCATGGCTGGCAAATACTTGTCCACATTCTATGAGGACATGTGGCAGTTCAGCACCCTCGACAGCAAGTGGAGACAGCTTGGTGCCCTGGTGAAGCCAAGGGCTTACCATACGGCCGTTTTAAACCCCACAGAGCGCACTTTGCTCTTGTTCGGTGGCGAAGGCAGCGGCCAGGTTCGCTCCGATCTCTTGCTCTTCAGTCTTGCCGATGTCGAGGGCCAGTGGAGCGAATCGTCTGCTCCAAGGCCAGCACCCCGAAGCCGGCACACGGCTGTTTGGGCAGAAGCCGCAAGAATCATGCTGGTATACGCAGGTTGGGATGGCCAACAGTATTTGCAGGATTTGCAGTGCTACGATGCTTCAGCTGACCAATGGACAGAGATTCCAGTTGCTGCAGGATGGCCTGCTGCCCGAGGGGGTCATGCGGCCTGCTGGGACCCAGTAGCAGAAAGCCTCATGATTGTGGGAGGCATCCAGAATGTGAGCAACACGCTGAGCTACAGCGCTGCGCTGTACAACTACAGTCTGCTCACAGGAACGTGGCGTGAAGAAGGCCTGCAAGTTCAGGGCCCAGCTGGCCGCACGGGCCATGCCATGGTGTGGGACAACGAGTCACGAGCGCTGCTTTTGTTTGGGGGTTACAACTCCTCATACCTGCAACAGACGTGGCGCTACGCCGCAAGCCACACCAGCTCGCCTGACGTTGTCAGCTGCCAACTTGGCAGAATCTGCTCTCTAAACTTCAGCGACGTCTCCGGTGCTTTAGCACCAAAACACACCTGCTCCGATTCAGACTTTTTGACCGCGGAGCCCTTTAGCATCTTTCAGGGCGCTGCGACACTTTTGTTTTTCGAGCCTGGGCATCACCGCCTTTGCTGGTGCAACGCCAATTGCACTCAACCTGATGATTTTGTCGTTGCCCTCAGCTTCCTCAGCGTGCAAGGGCCGTATTTGGACCAGTCTGCCGAGTGCCAGCTTGGAGCAACTTGCTTAATCAAGGCTTGGAGAGGAGTGGGCCTGTCAGTGAACGACAGCATCAACATGAAAAGTCGGTGCACTGATGGGCACAACGCCACCTACCCTGATCAACGCATCAGCATCTCCTTCAACACGTCCTACAGCTCGTATGACTTGCACGTTGGCTTTCTTGATCCGGAAAACATCCTTCCGCAGGACGTGCAGCTGTGTTGGTGCCCAGCCAGCAGCCCTTGCAATTTGGAAGAGGATTTCCTTGTCGTCGCTCTGCGCCTGAGGATTGCTTGCCCACCCGGCGAGTACGGCAACGGGTTCGGATCGGCTTGCATGCTGTGCCCAGAAAACTCCTTTTGCCCTGGTGACATTGCATTGAATAACTGTCCATATGCGAGCACTTCGCCGGCAGGGTCAAGCCCGCTTCCCAGTTGCCGGCATAGCGCAGTCCTTGTCTTGTGCTCGGCGGCCGCATCAAGCAAGCAGAGAGGGACTGATTGCACTGAGGCCAACGTTCTGACTGTCTGTGCCTGCAGGGGCGCTACTGGAGTGCTGAGAGTGGCGCCTGTTTGGCGTGCCCAGCCGGATCTTCGACGTCGCAGGCGGGGTCCAGGACTTTGAATCGTAACGGCGCGTTAAGGCATGTATACGGGCTTGTAGGGATTCCCCCATATTTGCTGTAAAGTTTAGCTCTTGTGCAGCTTGAGAAAGCTGCACACGGCTGCAGCGTATGGCTGCATGAAGCTGCATAGCTTCTGCCTGGAGGTGGGTGCCACCAGCCTCTCTTCCTGCACGTGCACTCCTGGCTTCGCCAATACGGAGGGCATCTGTGAGGCATGTGGAATGGGCTTCTTCTGCACAGGAGGCTCCGAGATGAGGAGGCCATGTGATTCTTCACAAACAACGCAAGGTACCACCGCCACATCAGTTCATGAGTGTGTCTGCAAGCACGGCTTTTTTTTTGAAGATGGGCTCTGTGCCCCGTGTCCGTTGGGATATTTCAAGCCCAACATCGGAAATGGCGAGTGCTCAAAGTGCGGAGATGGAACGTTCAGCAACAGCACGGGAGCAGCAGAGCCATGCAAATGTGCTCCTGGCTATGGATTCGATGACACTTCTGATAGATGCATGCTGTGCCCTGTCGGCGAGTACAAGCCCATAGTCGGAAATATTCAATGCAGCCGCTGCGCCAGTGACAAGTCCTCAGCAGAAGGTTCCACATCACCCCTCGACTGTCGCTGCCGAGCCGGCTTGGCTGCAGAGGGCAGCTTTTGCAGGGAATGTGTGGTGGGCTTTTTTTGCCCGGGCACAGGTGAGGAGCTGCGATGTCCGGACAGCGCGACTTCCGGTGCTGGCTCCAGCCTGCAAACAGATTGCATCTGCACTCCCGGCTACTTCTTGACTTCAGGCAAGTGCGAGGCCTGCCCACCGGGCCGGTACAAGCCGACGCTGGCCAACGACTTGACTTGTCCGTTGCAGTGCCCCACAAATGCTCTGAGTGCTTATGCATCTACCAGCCTTGCAGACTGCTTCTGCACAAGGGGATATTTCGCAGAATTGGATTCAGCAGATTCGCTAGCGAGGTGTGCTAGCTGTGCCCTCCTACCACACCTGCAATGTTTGGGAGGCTTTGGAACTCAGGCAGGGCTGCACAGGCTGCCTGTCTCTGGCCCGGGCTACTTTCAGACGGGAATAACAACAGCCGTCAAGTGCAGCGTAGTTTCGGCCAGTGGCCTCAGCACATGCCTTGGCGGCAGCATATGTGAGGATGAGCCCTCCGACTCAGAATGCGTTGGCAAATACAAAAACGCTTGCAATGAAGGCTCCACTGGCATGCTCTGCGGGGAATGTCCAGCTGGTTGGTCCAGAAGTGCTTTCCAGCAGCCCTGCCAGCCATGCGCCGCTGGCGCAGCTCTGCCACTGATCCTGTCTATCCTTGTCGAAGTCGGCATAAAGGTCGCAATGCGTTGAAAAGTACAGCGTTGATCGTTGCATGGTGGTAGTTAAAACACGACAAGGATCACGTTCCAATATGCTAAGTATCACGTTAGTTGGAGGCCTTGTTCAACTTCGTGGTGGCGTCCATGGCAGCAACTGCAGCTGCAAGGCGAAGCACCAAGCTACACACGATCCTGATCCGCCAAGCCACCCAGTGGCTTGCCGCCTGCTCCGTCCTGGCCACTTTTGACCTGACCCAGATCCCGCTGGACGCTGAGATAGCCGAGTTCGCCGAGAACAACAACCAGCTCTTCCCATGGCCTGCGCAGGTCACTGCAGCGATGCTGGCCCTGTTCGAGACCTTTACCCTAAAGCCGGTGCTGACTTCCGTCGATTTGGCCGCACAGTGCTTTGCCCAGGCGCGGGAGCATTTCCTGAGACGGCTTGGGGTTCATATAGAGGGATATACATGTCATGTATGTCTGCAAAACAAAAGTTGAGGAAGCATGGCGCTAGGCACAGCAGGCAGGCTAGCAGGTGTGCATGTCCGCGTAGTTGTGGACGCTGGCAGGAAGTATCAGCGCACAGCGCTGCACCACGGATTGCCATGGCGGTGTACCAGTTAGTCCTGCCTATGCTAGTCATGTTGACCGTCCTGCTGCTCTCCCTGGCAGTGGTGCACGTCCTTGTACCTCTGGGGCAGCACTTGGGCCACCCCTTCAACAAGCTCGAGCGAAGAGCCAAGGCTCTAAACAGCCTGCGCAAGGCGCTGAACCAGGTGCTGAACGTGGCTTCCGAAGCGCCTACTCTCTGGGCGGACTTGGAGCGATCGGGCGTGTTGAGGCAGCTGCAGACACAGCAAATTCAGCAGGCAGCTCAGGACCCCGACTTCTTCCTGCGGAGGGCCGCAGCCGGGTCTCGCCTGCTGTTGCTCCGCGCCTGCACAGCCCGGGCGTGCAGCCTGGCCTCGCCCAAAGCACTGCAGGCGAAGCAGCACCTTCCACAGGCAGAGCTTAACCGAGATATTCTGCAAGAACATTCCAGGTACTTGTATCATGTGTTTTTCATGAGCCTTGTGCAGGTGGACCTTTCAGCTTTCCTAAACCTCGACTTCGCCAGTGAATCGCCAGACTTCACCACCATGCTGGACATTGTCTTGGAGACGGCATGGGCCACAGCCCCGCAGCAGCAGCACTGCGGCATCACCATAGATGGTGAGGAGATTGTGGAGCTCGAGACAGAGATACACCAGGGCAATGGCTCCGAGATCTCAGAGCTAGAAGCGGCTGCATATCCCGAAATTGCTGCCATGCAGCCGTCCACCGAGGACGTGGTGCCCGGTCCCCGGGCAACTTGCGCAAGCCGCCTTCCGGTTTTTTACATCCATGGTTGTTGTGGGGTTGCAAGTGTTCACCCAGGCCCTACGAGGAACAGCAGCAAACGCTATCGCAGAGCGGCTTGAGCCTGATGACTGATGAGGCCCTTCCTGCATGTACAGGCTTCCGTGAAATCACATTCAAATGGTCTGGGATAGGCATGCAGCATGCTTGTCCCTTTTCGCAGGATGTGGATTCTTTAAACTTCGGCCTATTCTCTCCTGAGCCTTCCTTCAGCAAGCTCGCTTACCAGAGCGTGCCCATCATGTGGATAAGCCTGCTGGCCATGTGGCCCGGACTGCTGTCGAGCTTCCTTCGCATGATTTGGTGCATCCCCATCCTGGAGGATGACGAGGTGGTGAGCCGCCTCCTGCCTAACCCTTCGGTCATTTGTTGGTCCGATGACCACATGGCCTCTGCCAGACTTGCCATCGTAGGGCTGGGTCTCTGGTGCTTCGGGATCCCGGTGACATTGGCTGCTCGACTGATTTGCCTCCGCGACAGGCAGGCTCCCGAGAACTTCAGGCGTGTTGGGGGAAGGAGGCAATAGGAAGCTGGGTCAGAGACTGTGCATGGCAGGCGATATGGCTTTTTTTTCCAGGGGTTGGAGCCACGGTTTTGGTGGTGGGACCTCCTCGTCAAACGCTTGGACGTGGCCTCAGTGCTTCAGACCGATGGCAGTCTCGAGCCTAGAGCGTAGCAGCTAGCAGAGGTCAACATCCCTCGCTCTGAATAGATTGTCAGGATGTGGCGATTATGATGCTGGTCACCTACACTTCGTTCGTGCTGGACCCGAAGGCGAAGCTCATGCTGTTCCCGGTCCTCTCGGGCTTCCAGGTGGGAGACCCGCTCAGTTGTCCTGAGGACAGCAATATGGCGTGGACTAGGCTTTTCGAACCCCCTGATCATCAGGTCTCCTGCTCCAAGGTCACAATACAACCCAGAACGAGCACTGCTTTTGGCGCTTCCAAAGCACATGAACTGAGCGTGCGTACACATGGCTTGTTCATGGCTGGTGCCCGATGCGCACATTTAGCTAAAAGTTGAAGTACCAAACCTCCTGCTACAGCTTCCGAAGAACTGCATCACAGCACATACATACCTGTACCCTAGTGCACCGCCATTGAGGACTTTGTTTCAAGCTTGGGGATGCCTTCCAGGGCAATTGGGAAACGGCATACTTTTCGGTGCAAATAGTGCCCATGTTGACTGCTTGTTCTCAATGGGAGTGAATAAGTCCCTGCAACAGCTTACCAACAATTCTTCTGGTATATCTTTTGTGGCAGCACCAGGTTTCTAGCTGAAAGGATGCCCTTGTCTGCCAGGTGTTTTTGGCCGCCTGGGTCCGACCTTATGCGAACGATCAGGCAGAGATTCTCGATGTCGTGGAGGCATTGGGGCGCGCCGTAGAGTCCTCTAACCAATCATGGGTTAAGATGTGGACTTGCATAGGGTGGTCGGGTGTGCGTTCAGAAAGTCATCGTCCCTTGGTCCGAGCTTTTCTGCAGGCATGTCTTGGAGAAGGTTACACGCTTGCCACCCTAAGATTTTGAAGCGCCCACGCCGATTCAATGGAGCAATCTTATAAGCAACAGCCCAAGAGAACAGGGTAGCTCTGCAGGGCTTTCCCGGCTTTCACGCCAGAAAACTGCTTAATTTCGTAAGACGCTCATTTGACTATAGTCCAAGCTAGCAGCTAGCAGCAATGCACCTTCAGGTGACGCTTTCCATGATCCGCTTTCTGCTGTTCAGTACGGTGGCCTCGCTTCTGATTCTGCAGCCGCCTGCAAACACCACGTACCCGCAGCTGTGCCGAAGCCCTTAAATCCCAGCCCGAGCAAAGCAAGCTCCTGCAAAGTCCGGTACTACAGTAAACATCCGTTCCACGCGTGCTACCTTGACAAGTATGTGAAGCACAGGCTCAATGAGTCAAGGACCAGGTTCCTGAAGTGAGGGGCACTGGTGGGCTTGGTGCTAACTCCTATGGCTCAGCTAAGGGTGGCCTACATGCTGTTCGCGGTTCTCCTGCTGGCTTGCGGCTACTTCACTGCGCACTTTGCAGCCCAGGTGCGGCTGAAAGCTTGGCAAGCAGACAGAATCGGTCACACCAGGTCTGTGCCGAACCCGTTTTGGTTTTGTCAGACCGTTCTGTCCAGCAGGACGGTCGGAATGGTCGGGATGGCTGTTTGGGGCGGGACCGGGACGGTCTGATCCGGACGGGGGACGGGTTGTGCCCGGCTCCTAAAGATTGCCCCGGAATCTCTAGTGGTCCAAAATCGGATAGTTAGCGTGACCTGCTCACAGCGCTCGTGACCTGATCCGGCCCTTGTGGCCTGATCTGGGCTTCTTTGTGACCTGATCCGGGCCGCTGCTGTGATCCGAAGCGGACCTTTTCTTGTGACCCGATCCGGGCCAGCAGAGTTCGTACCAATCCGTGCCCCAGCCCAGAAGACCCACGGTTCAAGGCGCCTGCCCATCAAACCGCGTATAAGTGCAAGTCAATCTAGTAGTGCCATGGCGGTGTTCAAAAGTTGGTTCAGATTTCAGGCTTTTTCAATTGTTGGCAGTTTCCACGAAGACTCCGTAAAGGTGGAATCCTGCTTGGAGATTCATGCAGCAGGTGCTCCGGGATGTTGCGGTTGACTCCAGTCCCGTGCTGGCTCACTCCAAGTTCTCGAAAGTTTCAGGCCCAGAGAGATGCAGTAGGAGAGAACTTGTCCCACTTGAGCCTAAAAGAGCAAGGGCGATGTTAGACCAGTTCAGGTAGTTCAGGATTGTTTCGCAGGTGTCTTATTCGGGACTGACCTTGAAAGAAAGGGGCAAAACCGTTCTGACACACATGTGTATTAGTATGAGGCAGATCTCCTACATCCGGGTCCTTTCACGCTGCACACAGCGATCCAAGCGACCTGCATTTGGAAGACCATCCTAAACCCCAGGCAGAGCCGAAACCCCGGTATGGCGATTGGAGGTGCCCTCAAGAGCTTCATCCTCAAGCTGGCCCTGCCCTTGTTCACAGAGGCTTGGGGTGATTCAGGGTTCCGTGCACTCCCACAAATCAAGGCGTCTTCCACAGTGCTACCATGCGTTCGCGGCTTCTACTTTTGTAGTACTGAAGCTGTCTTGGAGGGTAGCTTCGGATGCTGGTCTTGCGGAGCCTTGCATATATCGAGATGGCTGTTGGACCTTCCCTGGAGATGAAACGAGTGCTTTTTTTTGCTCTTATGGATTGAAGAATTCAGGCAAGGTTTTCCAAGCCTGCGTAAGGCATCTTGCTTCTGCGGTTGGCTTTCACGAGTCGGGTGCTACTTGGGTTCGGCACACTCAGTTCAGTCTGGTTGTAATTAGTGGGTACCCTCTTGACAAGCAGAATCTGTTTCCTGCGCCATGTACGCAGCGCAAGTTCCAAATGCTTACAAGGCTTACAACAACTAGCAGTACCTACTGTAGTTGAAATCATGCAGCACATGCGGCAACTGATCACGTGTAAGCAAGGCACAGGTTCTCCAGCGTTGCCAGGCAGAGTCGGACTCGCTGCAGCTTTCCTGGTCCTTCGCGTCCGAGAAGATCACGGTGACGACCCCAACTTCTGGTTCGAGGCGAATTGCACTGCACCATCGTTCACCAGAAGAGCCATGCAGTCTCCACAAGAAGCTCCATGCAAAACTCAACAGGCCATGGGGACAAACGAGTGCCCAAGAGTATGACAGCTCTGCAAACAGCCCACGCGCGAAGTACTGCCGTCATCCGCCGTGTCTCAAGAGCAGATTGCCTGTCAAGCACCCACAAGTTCTTTGAAACACTGTCAAGCCGTTCCGAGGAGGAAGGCCTGGTGGGCAACTCCATATTCTTTGATAATAAGGTCGAGTAAACCAGACTCCATCAGACTCCTAAACCAGAATGGGTGATACAGCATTCTGCAGTCACTTGCAGAGGGGGGTTCTTTTTTTTCATGAGCTCCTTGTCTTGATGTGGCTGGTTCTGAGCTGAGCCCCTTCCGCAAATGTTCGCACCTGAAGTTTGCTTGCTTTCAGCCAGGCAAGTACGCTTGGCTTCTTTCCAGACGGCTGCCAAGAAATCACGCCGCTCGGATCATGTGGACGACGGGCGGGGGTTGCGGGCTTTAGTGCAGAGCTTTGCCATCGTGTTCTGTGTCGACATTGTTGTCCAAGAAGATGGCTGTTTTTTGAAGATGTACCCAGATTGTGAGGCTCCAAGGGTGTTTGCAGACTGCCATGACCGAGGCACCAAAGTATGGCGATCGCTCTCGCAGCTCAGCAAGAAAGTTTTGCGCCTCGGGCCTGAGTTCCAGCAGGCTGCCATTTCGAAGGCCCGTGCCTGCAAATCCCACCCAGCCTGAAGACAAGGAGCTGGTGTAAACGAGTGTTGTCATCGTCCGAATCATTGCGAGTCCAGAACATCAACAGGACGGGAGCAATCGGGAGCATTTGCAGCAAACAGCGAGGTGGCGAAAGGTCTGCGAAATGGCGGCGAAATGGTTCATGTAAATCAAGACATGTCTCCTGCAATGTCTGCCACGACGCAAGCGCCTCAATGCTGACATACAGCATAGTGTAGGTATTGCCAAGAGAAGGATTCTGTGCTTCTCGGGGGCTGTGAAGTGAAGGAACATGAAGCTTCCTGCGAAAGTGCGGCCACATATGTTGAGACGTCTCCACCATTGCGTGCAAATTTACATGCGCATGCATGTATGTACATTGTAGTGTAGTGGTGGATGTGTTCCTGGAGCCACTAATTCTGCTTATCATTATGGTTATTGCTAGTAGTGCATGCTGTAGTTGTGTGGTGATGGTGCTGGTGCTGGGGGTGCTGCTGCTGCTGCTGGTGGTGCTGGTGATGGTGCTGCTGGTGAGCTGTTGGTGGCGGTGGTGGTACTGTTGTTGCTGGTGGCATAGTGAGACATGACACGTTTCTTTCATGTAGGTGTAAGCTAGTGTGACGTGGCTCCATTTTGACGTGTGGAAACAGTAGACCTCCGGGAGCACATCTCATGCCTTCCAGGTTTCCTGAACTCTGGCGTTGAAACCTTACCATAGCCTGTAGTACCCTTACGGCTCCTCATAGCCAGGAGCCTGACTACAGAGTGGCTTGCTAGTGCTCACGGCTCGGGTGAAAGCCATAGGTACCTCAATCTTCAATCTTACCGTGCCCTCGATGCTGGGAGTCCGAGGTCAAGAGGGTTTGTGGGTGCTGGCCCGACGTTCCAGAACCCTAACCTGAAAAAGATGTGAATTCTTTAGGGCTTGCCTCAAAGACCTGGAAGGCCAACGAGGAGTTCGCCAGGCTGTTGCTGCAGCTCGGGCAGGAGGAGTTGTCTCCGCTCCGGCACGCATGTGCTCTCGCAACAGCCCTGAAAGCCTTGCCTCCATCACTCGTCAAAAGCCGCATCCGCGACGTGTGGATGCAGCAGCTTAAGGTGTTGGCACAGCAGGATGAGCGCCTCACATGCCGGCCTGTGGACTTGGAGCAGGCGGTGCAACAGCTCATCCCCATGCCTGCGGAGGATGCCGTGGCCTTGATCCAGTACGTTTCACACCTGTGCGAAGAGAAGGCACGCCATTATGAAGAGCTCTGAGCTCTTGCACGGTACCTGTCCAGCATTGTGCATGAATCGCCTACTTCCGCGTACCACACGTATTCTACGCTCGTGCTGGGAGGGTAAATTTCCGCGTGCAGGCACTGACATTCACAATTCACATGCATGCAACGTCCCGCTAGTGCTTCCAAACGTTGGAGAAGGGACAAGCTGCCAAGCTTTGAACTTGAGCAGAATTCATTAGGAACGTTGGAGAGCAACGACCCCTTTTGGCCACTTGTGGGTTCCTTCACGTCAGGACCTGCATGGCCGCATTGGCGCCCAATCAAGTTCTCCATGACATGTGCGTCCTGCGTGGCGGCTATCTCAAGCGTTAAGACGAAGTGACACGGAGAGTAGAGTCAAGATGTCATGCAGGGTGTCCATGATCAGCGGAGATCAAAGCAAATGTGCTAGTGCAGGCGATGTTCCGTGAGTCCAGATCCCACGCAAACAGACACATGATGACAGGCACTCACTTCAGCAGTGTTGCCAGGGATTAAGTATTTTAATGCTACTAGTAATTGTATACTAGTAGTAGACTACTAGTATACTATTATACTACTATTTTACTGTTATACTGATACTACTGCCGTGACGAATTTTAGACATGTGGAGGGCGGCCGGGCAGCAAGGGCTGGAGAGGTAGTATAAGCCTCCTGTTTAAGGTCCATAAATGTACGTGTGCATACATTTGTGGAGCTTTTGGGTATTGAGAAGGCAGGCGGGCCGAGACAAACAAACTTTCTTGGAAGTTGTATAAAACATCTGTTTAAGTTGTTTAGATAGCCGCATGTTTAAAAGTAGTTTCCGTACAAAACTACTAGTTCACCACTGGTATACTAGTATGCTACTATAACACTACTACTATGACTATAATGTGAATATATTACTACTAGTCCGAAAGCACCTGTAGCTGCTTTGGACTTAACGAGAGATTCAGCCCCAAGCCCGAACATCTTAGCCGCTGCTACAATAACACCGTAGTAGTAGTAGTAGTAGTAGCAGTAGTAGCAGGAGTAGTGGTAGTGGTAGTAGTGGTAGTAGTAGTAGTAGTAGTAGTAGTAGTAGTAGTAGTAGTAGTAGTAGTAGTAGTGGTACTAGTAGTACTAGTAGTACTAGTAGTACTAGTAGTACTAGTAGTACTAGTAGTACTAGTCGGCGGCAACGTGTAGGGGTGCTTTGAGGGTCACAGTAGGCGTTCAAGCTATGAGCCGGAATTCCTGGCAAGCAGAGTCACGACTGTGGTGAGACGCTTTCAAGGGGGGGAAGGGTGCAAGGGGTTCACAAATGTTTCTTATGTTGGTTATGAACACTTTCAACACCCCTGAAAGCCTTGCCTCCATCACTCGTCAAAAGCCGCATCCGCGACGTGTGGATGCAGCAGCTTAAGGTGTTGGCACAGCAGGATGAGCGCCTCACATGCCGGCCTGTGGACTTGGAGCAGGCGGTGCAACAGCTCATCCCCATGCCTGCGGAGGATGCCGTGGCCTTGATCCAGTACGTTTCACACCTGTGCGAAGAGAAGGCACGCCATTATGAAGAGCTCTGAGCTCTTGCACGGTACCTGTCCAGCATTGTGCATGAATCGCCTACTTCCGCGTACCACACGTATTCTACGCTCGTGCTGGGAGGGTAAATTTCCGCGTGCAGGCACTGACATTCACAATTCACATGCATGCAACGTCCCGCTAGTGCTTCCAAACGTTGGAGAAGGGACAAGCTGCCAAGCTTTGAACTTGAGCAGAATTCATTAGGAACGTTGGAGAGCAACGACCCCTTTTGGCCATTTGTGGGTTCCTTCACGTCAGGACCTGCATGGCCGCATTGGCGCCCAATCAAGTTCTCCCTGACATGTGCGTCCTGCGTGGCGGCTATCTCAAGCGTTAAGACGAAGTGACACGGTGAGTAGAGTCAAGATGTCATGCAGGGTGTCCATGATCAGCGGAGATCAAAGCAAATGCGCTAGTGCAGGCGATGTTCCGTGAGTCCAGATCCCACGCAAACAGACACATGATGACAGCACTCACTTCAGCAGTGTTGCCAGGGATTAAGTATTTTAATGCTACTAGGAATTGTATACTAGTAGTAGACTACTAGTATACTATCATACTACTATTTTACTGTTATACTGATACTACTGCCGTGACGATTTTTAGACATGTGGAGGGCGGCCGGGCAGCAAGGGCTAGAGAGGTAGTATAAGCCTCCTGTTTAAGGTCCATATATGTACGTGTGCATACATTTGTGGAGCTTTTGGGTATTGAGAAGGCAGGCGGGCCGAGACAAACAAACTTTCTTGGTATAAAACATCTGTTTAAGTTGTTTAGATAGCCGCATGTTTAAAAGTAGTTTCCGTACAAAACTACTAGTTCACCACTGGTATACTAGTATGCTACTACAACACTACTACTATGACTATAATGTGAATATATTACTACTAGTCCGAAAGCACCTGTAGCTGCTTTGGACTTAACGAGAGATTCAGCCCCAAGCCCGAACATCTTAGCCGCTGCTACAATAACACCACAACAGCAGTAGTAGTAGTAGTAGTAGTAGCAGGAGTAGTGGTAGTGGTAGTGGTAGTGGTAGTGGTAGTAGTGGTGGTACTAGTAGTACTAGTAGTACTAGTAGTACTAGTAGTACTAGTAGTACTAGTAGTACTAGTAGTACTAGTAGTACTAGTAGTACTGGTAGTACTAGTCGGCGGCAACGTGTAGGGGTGCTTTGAGGGTCACAGTAGGCGTTCAAGCTATGAGCCGGAATTCCTGGCAAGCAGAGTCACGACTGTGGTGAGACGCTTTCAAGGGGGGGAAGGGTGCAAGGGGTTCACAAATGTTTCTTATGTTGGTTATGAACACTTTCAACACCCCTGAAAGCGGATTGCTGTCTTTTATGAAACGCTGAGCAAACAGCAAGGTGTTTTTGGCAGTAGGGGTTGAAAACAGGGACGAATTGGTTGTATGTGTTGCTCGGTGGGTCCACATAGCCTGTGCGATTGCTCACTTCCTGGAGCCTTTTTTTTTCTCGTACGGTGCTGCAGTGTCCTGGTCTTGCGCACTTCCTGAAGCTCTGGCTGACGGAAAAAGGTCCTCAAAAATCAAGGGTGGTAGGCAAATGGCGTTCTGTTCGAAGCTGCTGAGTTGCCTAGGACTAGGACCAGAGCGTCGCATCAGTCGCCCTCACATCCGGGAAGCAGTGTGAGAAGGCTGTCTGGCTCGGGAGCGAGAACTGGACTTGCAGGCTGCTACCAAAGCACGCCTTAGCAGTTCCTCGATGCTTCGTCGCCGGGGCTATGTCACTGTCATCGGCTTGACTGGCGCAGCCCGTTCTTGTCTTTAACCCTAAGGGAGATGCTTCCCCACATAGAGCTCAGGGCAGGTTCAAGACTTTAGATCCTTAACTTCCAAGCCCCACACACTGGTACCACCCAACCTTTCTTTCAATCCCCACGCCAGTCAAAGCCTGCAAACCGAAGCCACTTCGCCCAAGATACAGAGTTTCGATAGGAGTAAACCTTGCCAGGCAATGCCAGGCAGCGGCGGCTGCACCTGCTCCTGTGCTGCACTCTTGGCTTCTAGAACCTGGCTAAAACCATCATTCCGGGGTTGTGAGGTTGCACGCTCGACCGCGGAAACATTGCCCCTTGAACCCCCAGAGGGCCTTCATGCAACAGTAACTCCGGACGTCTGTGACGACCGCTGCCATACTGCAACGATTGCTACGAATACTGTGCTTGCGGTTTGGCGCTGCAGTAAACATTTGTAATCGGCGAGTTATCGGTCATGACTTCATCAGGAAAGTTGTTCACTGCCAGCTATCAGTTGCGATGTTGAGTGCCATGCCACGACGTCGCGTTCGGCATTTGAGCCTTTTTGCATGTCATAACAATCATGAGATTGGTGCGCTGTCGCTGGAACGGCCGCAATGCACCGCCTGCCGCAACAGACACGTTTCGATACTGGTACTGTTGCATTTGGTTTGGTGCTCACCGGCGGTTTGCTTCAGCGTGCCCACTATTCACCTGGAGGGACTGAAGACGCCGACTTGCTAAGGTGCTACTGCCACATAATCTCCTTCTCTACCCAAAGAGCAGAGTACCTCACCTCCAACGAGTTTTGGCTCGAGTCGAGGCTGGGAATCTAGGTGCAGAGAGCAGACAGCCAGTCGCCCTACAGCAATTGCCCATGTACAATCTGCAATCAAACGGATCGTAGCCGGAACCTGACTCTGCACTTATATCGACAGCCATTAGGGCTAAGGAGTGCGATATCAGCCGCTGTGCCTCAGCGTGCCGGCCCTGTGCACACGGCATTACCGCCGCAGCAAGCAGTGTCCACTGCCATCGAGTCTTTCGTCTGAGATTAGGGGCCAGTTCGGGTTGACATCTACGTCTGGGTTTGAGCCGTTCTTGCCCGCCATGGGTGTGGTGAGTCTGCAGGTCGAGCTTTACATCCTTCGATCGCTTTACATCGCAGATTCCCGATTCGTCTTGGATTTGCAAACACACTGCTAGCGTTGTCAATTTGTCTCGGCCGATGCTGCACGAAACCAAGCTTGAGTCGGGTGGAAATCTTACCATTGTGCATTCTGCGTTCCCAACTTCCCTGCCCCTTGACTCGAACGGACACCTGAGCTCTCAAACTAAGCAGGCGAAATAAGCTCAATGTAGCACGGTCACATTTGCTGCTCCCGCAGCTAGTGCACCTGCTGGTCTATATTGTTCAGCACAGTGTTTACATGCACTTCAAAGGGACAGACTTTGTTGTTTGTGCCTGCCCCGCTCTGCTTTATGAATTCTGCTCCCTCCTCCAGCTTTGATATTGATTAGCAGTAACGGTTGGCAGCTGCTGCGTCGCTTCGGCCATGCATCGTCGTCTTTGAAACAGCTGGATGAAGCAGAGGGTTAGTTCAATTCCAGTTTGATTGAAATACTGATCACAAAAAACCCTGGTATCAATAATAATAGCCATAATAGTCACAAAGCCCAGAATAAGTTTGATTCAAGCTTCAAGCCCCGGCTGCACAGAGCTCAGGTGCGTCATGGGCTGGCACCGTCTGTGGCCCATTCGGCAGGAACCTCAGAGCTGCAGCTCTTTGATTCTGGCCGCAGGGTGTACTTGGAGGATCATGGGGCATAGTAAGTAGGGTTATAAGTACCTTAATTGGGGGTATAAGTACTTATAAGTGTAGTTACCTTATACATAAAACCCCAATTACTAAGTCCCAGGATCCTTTAAGTAGTATGGAGGGATTAGGGGTTTCAGGGTTTAGGAGGGGGGGAGGTGGTTGAAGCAGGGAACCAAGATCTCAGAGCCCCGGCCTCCGACTGCCAGGCAAGTTTTGCTAGCCTGTAGCTTTGGGGTTATGTCCCAAAGGGTCCAAGTCGTAGTCTGGGATAAACTTTTGGGGCCCAAATACCTATTAAGTAGATACTACATCGGTACTTTGACTCTTTGGGTGTTTGACCCGAATTTCAAGAGCGTTACTAAGGCCCCTATATCACGGCCCAGTGATGTAATCCAGGTGGCAGGTGTTTGAGTCCTATTACGATACTGCAGATACTGCGGACCTTATTAAATTGGCAAGGCGTGCAATAGGGGTCTACGTTGGAGAGCAGGCTCTACACACTTAGCTATAGATTATGTGCCCGAAGTGTATCGATGTTGCTGCAAGGTCGGTGCCGAGCTTTGTTCGAGGCCTTCCTTCCCATCTGCGACTTCTTGTTTGGGCTCAGCGTATGATTCGGCTCATCATGCCTGCGGGGTCGAGTCAAGGGCGTTGGTTGCAGCAAAGGTCTTGGAATTCAGAGTCTGGGTTGAGTTCAGTGTCGCGGGTCCGCAGCAGCAGCAGCTGCCGCTGCTGCTGCTACCACAATCAACAACAGCCACCATACCACCACAAGCAAAAGCGAAATTTGCCACAACTGAAGATGACCCGTAGTTCCAATCTGGATGTTTATTGCAGTCACTAGTACACTGGAGGACTGACCACCTCCGCCGGCAGAATCGCATCGCCGGAGTCAAAGCTGAAGTTCCACGTGGAGAAGGCCTTTCGTGTTCCAAAGTTATCGCTTCCTCTGCAAACGACAACGACAACGACAACCACTTCTGCTGCTGCTGCTGCTGCTAGTGTTGTCATTCATCCCTCAGATCCAGCCTCCTGAGCTGCTTGTCCGAGTCAGTAGGTCAGTAGGTTCTGCATGCTCGTTCAATAGATGCACGAGCAGTCCCTGTGTCCTTCTCGGCATAGCCCGCTGGCCGGAAGTTTTCAGATTAAATCTGCTGGCAGGAAGTCCTTATGACGTGTAGAGTAGCGTGACGAAGTAAGCAAATCATGGAAAGATGCTTTGCAAGAGTAGCTGAAACCGGCTAATTGTCAGAAGGAGCCAACTTGTTATCTCAAGCTCCTGTGCATCGGTTTAGGGTTTACACGGTTTAGGGTCTAGGCAAACTGCATGAAACTTCTGCTGTCAGGGCTCTGCCGCCCTGGGGCAAAGCCAAGGCCGGCAAGCCACCCATGTTCCGTGCTACGGTTGATCATATAAATCCTGCAGTACCAAAAGGACCCCAAACTATGAGAATTATGGAAAAATCCATAACATGGGTAATGCAGGATTTATATCAACAGACGTATGTTGCACGCTGCATCCGGAAGCACGCACTTGTGCACGGACAGACGCACACACAATGTCGGAGATTACACAAACAGACAAAGCACATCAGCAAGGGAATGCTCCCGGACATCATTGACCTGGCTGTTTACTCAGCTGTTTGTCTGTCTCTTCATCGAACTATACCTATCTCTCCATCAATCAGTAAAACAATCAATCTACTTCTCTTGTTCATGTATCCATCTATCTAACTATCTAGATCAATCCATTTGTCTAGCCAGTTCTTTTTCTATCTGTGTCATTATCTATCTACGAAAGTCTCTATTTATCCAGCTATCTATCTATCTTTCTATTTGCCCATCTATCTATCTATCTACCTCTCTCTATCTCTAGCTGTAGCTCTATCTCGATTTGCCTTTCTTTCTTATTGTTATCTGTCGATCTACCTATCAAACTGCCGTCCGGTCCAGCTGTCGATCTATCTATCCATCTGCCTGTATACCCATCTATCTATGCATCTATCGATCTATCTCTTTATCTGTCTATGTATCCATCTATCTACCTATCTATCCATCGATTTGTCTATCTTCATACTGCCGTCAGTCGAATTGGCGATACTTGTCTGTTTGTCTAGATACATCTGTATGACAAGCCATCTATCTATCTTATTTGTCGTTCTTTCTGCTTGCATGCCTGGTTTACCGTGCTAGTGTCCGTTACAGAAGACTTGTTCTCTCCCCGTCAATCTTGCATGCACATATACAGTCCGTACCTACTTGTGCCTGCAGTCGCCAGTGCTATCCAACCTTGAAGTGCGCACTGCATTGCCCGAGATCTGCCCTACAAAGTCGCAGCATGCCAATACTATTCCAAGCACTAGCTCGTGGTTCTCACGTCGCCCTAAACCCTACAAACCCTAAACTTCTGTCAGTGTCAGCCAGGGCCTCTGGCGCTGTACGAGTCCCTGGTCGCTTCAGGGAAGCTGAGGGAAGACGAGGAACAGAGGCACCTACGAGGGGAGGAACGAGGTTTAGGGTTGAGGGTTTTGGGTTTAGGGGTTTAGGGGTTTTGGGTTTGGGGGTTTGGGTATTGGGTTTAGGGGTTTTGGGTTTAGGTTTTTAGGGGTTTGGATTTTGGGATTGGGGTTTTGGATTTTGGGCTTAGGGCAAGAATTCGAGGATGGAAAATTCAGGAGCAACTGACTAGGCGACGAAAGCCTCATGTGATGTGCAGCTACACTTCACTACGACCAATATGGCTCAATATGGAGCTCCGACAGCCCGCATACATCTGTACTTAGCACTGGGCTCGAGCAAAGATTAGGATGCCTCTTCTTGTTTGACCTTCTCAGGGCGTCCAATCCGAACGATGCACGATCTTTGCACAATCGGGATCCATCCTGTCCTGGGCTTTACTTGCACCCCGGGTCCAACAATGATTTTTGATCTCATTAAACGGGGTTACGGATTTTTGACGTGCTTGCCAACTGTCACACTGTTCGCATACTTGCTGTGCCATTTTGCAGTGAGGCACCCAACCGAACATGTCTTCTTTCGGTTTGTCTCCTCTGTCAAGAAGTCTGATGCCATCTACTAAGCTGCAAGTCCTGTGTCACTGTACAGAAGCGACGCGCCTTGGAACTCCCAAATGTGAACAGGCACCATACATCCCCACCCCCCAGAGCCGGGGAAAGGTACGGCAGTGTGGGCTGTGGCAAGACCATGTCGATGGATATTTTCCACTCCTCTCTGCAAGACAATGCCGCCCTCCGCGTGCAGAGGCTGGGATGCTGCAAGTCTGAACGTCTGATTGCATTTCGATCAGTAGATAACGGTTTTCAAAATTCTGTCGTGTAGACTATGAATATTATCGCCTTCTCTAGCGAGCACGCCCGCAGGTCCATCTGCTTTCCCCAAAGCACCCCAATCACCGATGTTCTCGATGCCTAGGCTCCCAAGGTGCTAGGAACCTGTTCGAATCAATGAATCCAGGAGGACTCACCTTCGTTTTGGAGCTTCCAAGTTCCAGGCTTCAAGAGGCCTCATTTCAAGCAGCGGAGCCTCAGGATCTGGATCCCTGAGCTGCTTCGACATCGATCCCGACATGGCATGTATGCTTGTATGTGTGTATGTATGTATGCATGCATGCTATACAGTGTGTTTTGGAGGTTATCTATCGTCTCGAGCTGAATTTACACAGTGCCGTTACATGCCATGGTTGGCCTTTTTCAGACTGTCACTCGCTGGTTGATGCCACGCAACACAGGAAAGTCGAACGTTTTAATCTGAAGCTGCAGATTTTGTAACCACACACACACACACAGCTCGACAAGTCTTTCTAAAACCACTCCAAACCGGAATTCGTGGGTGAGAGCTGGAAGGAAGCATTTCCATGAGTTCCTCTACGACGTGCAGCGCCTCCTGCATCAGATCAAGAAAGAGGACTAGAATAGACATGAAGGCAGGCAGCCGTGTTGTTCGGCTGTCGGTTGTTGAACTTGTGTGTCATTTTCAAGTTCGGACAACAGCTGTGCTCAACAAGTATTCTATCCCCCCAACCCGGTCACCGTACGCTCGCAAACGCTCAGCAGTTACCATTTTACCTAACAATAATAATACTAATTTACAGAAGCAGTAATAACAGTAGTACTAACAAGAACTATTTTTGTTGCTATTATTCATATTCCTGAACCCTCAAGTACACCGACACCCCCATCATGTAGTCCCAATCGTATCCGACTCCGGCAAGCCCTGTAGTCATCGTACCCTGAACGCTGATTCCTCAACCCCAGATTTTGAAGTGGCCAAGATTCTACCCCCAGCTTCCGCACGCCCTAATTTTCAATAAGCTTGTAAGTAAGCCTAAAACACCAAACCTGGTCATTTTGCTCTCAGTATGTGGTCACGAGACGGGTATTTCACAAGTTGTTGTCTACATAGGCTGCCGGTTCTTTGCCCGCTAGCGGGGTTTGAAGGGATGGTTGCAGGACGAGCAAGGAGTCCAAACCGGACTCGGTGTCCAACGTGCCGGCGAGCGCATCGCCGCGAGTGTGGACTTGCAGCTTGTCCTGGGATCTTTTTTTTTTTTTTTGAGGGGTGGGGGGGGAATTACAGTAAAATGGGACCCAAAACCCTAGGCTTTCGGTGGTCTTGCTAGGATGGGGTCTAAGTCAAAGGATTCTAAGGTAGGCTTAAAGGTTCACCGGGTTACAAGCTTCTGACGGTTTTTGTTTGAGCTGATTCTGCAGAGCATCGAGGCAGGCACCTGAGAATGCTTCTTCTGTGAGTTTGTGTGTGTGTGTGTGTGTGTGAGCTTTCTTGCAGAGTGTGAAGGACTATAGTCTCTGAACCAAAGCCTTAACCCTAAACCCCAAGGTAAGAGCATGATCAAGTGGTGCTATCTCTGCCTAGTAGAGAACGATGATGAGATCCACGGATTTCCGAGGCTCTGCTTTGATGAGTTTGTGGGGAACTCAGCCGGTAGCGCACTTCGTTTCTCCATCCGCAGCATCGGGTATCCTCAAAAGGTATACCTGTAGTCTCCATTGTAGTGCCTTTTTTTGGTTAACCAGCTGTATGGTTAGGATCCCATAATATAGATTTTGGTTAGCCAAAAGGAACTACAATGGAGACTATAGGTAGGGTAGAGGTTTAAGGTTTGGGTTCTGATCAGCCCTCCGCCAGTTGATGGGAAGATCTGCCACACTTAAGGCCGTCACCACGATCCAGGACGAGGGCCAGTTGAGTTTTGCGCAATACTTGGCTCTGACGAAAGACCATGTGTGATTTATCAAGACTTGAACGACTAACCTAGCTGCGGTTCCTTGTGCCGTAAGCCCATCTGTGCAACATCTGCCATGCATCGCATGTTACAATTGCCGCAGGATTGCTGCCTGCTGGTAGGTCGTTCGGGCGATATTTGGTCCATGCCCCCGATGATGAACCTTGTAAGTTGCTGGTTCAACCACAAGTCCAAACCCTGGGCTTCTGACTTCTGGAGTTCCAGGGATCAGAGAACGCCGACCTCAGATTCCGACGGTGGCACGCTTAGAGTCTGAAGATTTCTTGACAGGTGGGGATATCAACTCCGCTTCTGCTAGCAGATCTGCCCTCCAGGTGACCTCTTTTTGGGAGAACCACGGGCTGCGGGCGCGGGCTTTGTCTGCAGGGCTGAACCTGGTCTCCTTCACTCCAGCCCGCACCTCTTTGCAGTCGAACTTGTGTCACGCCTGCACTTGTCTGGCTGTGCCAGTTCTGTGGAGATGCGAGCCTTGGTCATGGAGCATTTGGCTTGAGCTAGTGGGTCGCTTCGATCAAGCGTGCATCCCGGCCTTTGCCGGCTTCAGCTCGCGCCATGGCCCCCATCGTGTGGATGCTCAGTGTGGTTGTCGGAGTCGTCGCGTCGCAAGAGACGTGCGAGGAGATGTCGCATCTGCAGGTGACAGGGCACAGCATGGAGGAAGCTTCCTCCGAGCTGTTCTGGCAGGGTTATGGTGGAGTCGGCTGGATATGGATGTGGGTGTTGGGCTTGCTCGGGAGGGATACGGTGCATTGGGGAGGCTTCGAGGGCACAGCAAAGGTTGGTTTAGCTCTGATGAGCAATGAGCATCAAGGGGACAAGTTCGAGACCGTGGCATCGGCCGCCGGCATCATCGGTCTCCTGCCAGGCTGTTTCAAGGATCAGGGTTGGTGCTACGCTGACGAGCACGATGACTTGCTCACGGCACTCTCGAATTCCGGCCCCATGAAACGGGCCTTCACCATGTGCCTCGACGAGACGCCGGCCGGGGGCGGCAAGCTCTTCCTGGGCATGCCACAGACGATTCCTGCGAATGCCAAGGCAATGAAGATGGTGAATGTGTACAACTGGCACAATTACGCGTACGCCATCTACGCTCCGAACCTCACGGACGAGACGGTGACCTTCAGCTTCGGCTCCGAAGTTGTGGGAACTCAAAGTTATCACACCTGGTGGTTGAACGAAGGGCTGAACAGCTATGTCGACTCTGGCACCAGAGGCTTGAAGCTTCCCCTGGACATCTTCGGCAAGGTCATCCATCATGTCTACGATCGCATCAAGCATCACGACAAGGAATGCGAGAAGCATTGGGGCGACGGCCTCTTGGACCAGTTGAAGAAGCTCGGTGCCGAGGGCACGGGCGTCCTCTTAGAGGTGAACGAAGCCCAGAAGAGCTGTGCCATGGATCACGTGCAGGACCTGGTCATCCGGGTAAACGGCAATGATGTCGTCGTCTTCAAGTCCAGCTTCTTCTACGAGACCGAGCCGTGCTCGCAGAGGTACCAGATCTCCTGGTGGGGAGTCGAAGGCACAGCGGTGGTCTTGGGCACAGCCTTCTTCTGGGGCAAGAACCTTCTCTTCGATACCTCAACGATCAAAGTCGGTGGAGTGCCTTACTTGTACGATCTGGGCCCCGCAGACGGCTGCCAGAAGGACTACGGCCAAATCCCAGGCAATGAGATTAGCTTGTCAGGTCCTCCGGGGCAAGTGCTGGGTATCAACGGCACCATCACCGCTGTGGTGAAAGTGGGCACACCGCCTCAGGAACTCACGGTCCAGCTGGACACCGGGTCCGCTAAGTTCTTTGCAGTTCACAAGGAGTGCCGGAAGCTCGTGAATTGCTTCATGGTGAACCCCCCCAATGAAACATCCATCACTATTTCTCAAAAGAGTTGGCAAAAGAGCAACACTTGCCAGAAGCAAGCCAGCGCCTTCGTGGATGCGATGCTCAGCCAGTCGGCAGTGAGTTGTTCAAAGACTGGTGGAGAGAATCTCCTCACATGCGACTGTCCTTACAAGCAGCCTTGCTACGTGGCCATGGTCGAGGCTATCCAAAAGAGCTTGATTCCAGCCGAAGTCTGCGGCATCAGCAGAAAGGCTTGTGGGGAACCGGTTGACTTCCTCCCCAGCCTGTCCAGCAGCTTCCAGCCACACCAGTCTCAATCTATGAGCTACAAGTTCGCCAAGGCACCACAAGATCAACATGTGACGGCCAACTGCCAGCACGACTGCCAGTACAACTAGACACATGGTACCGCCGGTACCTTGCAATGCGAGAATGCCTGTAGCTCTCATGGCGTCTTGTAGCACGGAGCTGCTCAGACGCCAACTCGCAGCGCGCAAAACCGTACAAAGATGTACAAAGCGTCCAGTCAGTGGTCATACAAGTCATGTACCCTTTTTTTGCCAAGAAGGTGGCACGTTTTATCTTTTGTTTTTTTTGGCGGCTGCGGAAGGCCAATGAGCGCTGCGGCGGACGTCGGGAAAACCTGGGGAAGTCTGGCGAAGCAAGTCCAGGATCTGAATCATTGTACGTTTACTCGTAGAGAGAATACGATAACCCAGGTAAATCCAGAGTATTTGGATTTACCCTATTGCCATATTCCCATCAGGCTCTACATGAGGAAAATTAAATGATAAGACATAAATATCGTTTTTTTGTTCTGGTGCGATTTGGATCTCTTCAGGTTGGCGCCTGTGGATGCTTCGATGAGGTCAACCGTATATTCATCGAGGCTCCGTGGCTTTTTGAAGGGATGCCCGATGGATCCTCATGCATCAGGCGAACCAGAAAAGGGCTCTCTTCGTCAGGTCTTGTCGGTGGTTTCCACGCAGTACAAGTCCGTCTTGTGCGCCATCCGTGCGAACAGCAAGACCTGCCTCCTCGTGGACGAGGACCCGCTTTCATTGGAGTTCCCGGTGCGTGAGCACAGCAAACGGCCACCAGCACGAGGAGCTGCGCCTGATCAAGGCCTGCGGCGCATTCATCACCATGTGTCCCGGCAGAGCAGTCAGCAGTTCTCAGCGGTGGTGGAGTCTATTTCGGTTTCGAGGTCATGTTCCGTGCCCTCTTGGAGCTGCTGTCGAAGCAGATGCACTACGATTTGGGTCTGCGAGCTGTGAAATCTCTGTTTCGTTAGGCCGGGAGGGTCGCTTCTTGCGGTCGTGACTCACGCACAGAGCGGTGCAGTGCTGTGTGCAGTGCTGCCTGCTGCTGTTGCGCGCATCTTGCGCGGTCCGCGGTTGAAGGATCTCTTTCGTATTCGTACGGTTTTTATGCCAGGACATGCCCATCTTCCAGCGTCTAATCCAGGACTTGTTGCAGGCGCCCTGAAAAAGCGCGTGGAGCATGCGACTTCCTTGCCCCCTCGCATTGGAGACGTCAAGGCGAAGCCTTTTCTGGATCCGAAGTTCAGGATGGGTCTGCGAGGACGGTCAAGGCACCCTGTAGAAGGCATAAGCCCTGTATCTAAACGCCCCAGAAGCCCACGGTCGGAGGCACGTGTTCTCCAGCCGGATATAGGCACGCAGCGAAGAGTCCGGTCGGGTTTTCGAACATGTGGAGCGCGTGGAGTGGAGGTTTCGTGGACAAGGTGGCGGACTTCCTTGACTCCTTGACCTCTTGAAGGACCCAGACAAAGCAATAAGTGCCAGGCTGGTTGGCCTGCTTGTGTCTGTGGGAGGTCCGGCACTGCTTCATCATCGGGCCCACGGGCGCGGGGAAGACGGAGATCTGGCGGGCCTTGGACTGGAAGCAGCGCTCATTGCCATCGGTGAGGACTTCTTTTTACGGTGTGCAGACAAAAGTTTCAAGAGTCAACAAGCCGGAGTGCATGGCGGCATAGCCAGGACTGCAAATGGGAGCAGGTCAATCCCAAGGCCGCAAGGCCATAACCGCAGACGAAGTGTACGGAACCATCTAAGAGAAGTTGATGCTCTTAAAAGGAGACCTCCCGGGAGCCGGAGCCGGGTGGAGCCGGAGAGACCTCTTGTGACTTAGGCCCTCCGAGGCCCTCCATCTAACAGCGTTCTACAGAAAGAACCCTGAGCCCTTCGAGGCGGGAGATCTCCTTGATGAGCGTTTTCTGTGGGCGGTGACGAAGTTTCACCCAAGGAAGTCAGAGAGCTCCATGGACTGTAGGCTGCAAACAAAGGCGGGAGGCCCACACTGTGGATTAGGGGTCGTGTCATTCCACTTGTGCACCGCGGCAGCTAATCCCAGGCGCTGATGAGAAGGTGTCTCGAGCACTGCTGTTTCAGCCCCGCGGTGCAGATTTGGTCGGCTCAAAGCTTGTTTTCTTTGCCTCGCTCCCTTGCGCTGCCATGGCCACGGTGCTTCTGGCAGTCTTGGCCCTGAGGTTCCTCCCCGTCTTGGGAGACCAGGGGGCTGAAGAGTGCCTCTTGCAAATCCATGGCTTCACCACGTCTGGGCAACTTGACCTGGGCCCCACAGGTCCATCGCCGCCCCCGTCGCCCTCTTCTCCCCCATCGCCTTTCGAGGTGATGCAGAAGCCGTGGACAGACAAGGGCATCCATTTCCCGCAGTGCCCAGGCCCGCAAGGCCCTCCCGGCTCGCCCCAGCCCCAGGCCCAAGGAGCCCAACCCTGGCCTGTGCTGCTTGCGGAGCCCCAAATGCCGCTGCCTCCTAAGAAGCCGCAGTGTCCTCCGGGCTCGACACTCATTGGAGACTTCCATGAGGCTTCCTACTCCTACACCTGCTGCGATGCAGGCCAACAGTGCGGAGGCTGCTCTTCCGTGATCGATGGCAAGTGCGCCCGGTGCGCTGCAGGGTATGTGAAGCAAACCATCCCGATTATCGACAAGACCAAATGCTTTCTTTGCGATGACGTGGCGGGCTGGAAGGATGCAGCGGGGCGCAGTTGCGAGGACTACGCTGCCGTGTGCAATGGCAGCTGGCCGGAACCGTCGCTCGATGTGGCATTTGGAAAGCTGAGGCCCAGTGAGGCCTGCTGTGCTTGTGGCGGCGGGAGCCTTTATCCCACTCCAGTAGATCTGCCACTCTCCTCGGCTGTCCTCTACAACAATCAGAAGGCCCGGTTTTCGCCTGGAAGGGGCCGTTTCCGCATGGATCTCTTCAGGTGGACTCCTCCCCTGAGCCTTTCACGGCCGAGACCACGGAGGCGCTGGGCTGGGCATGGCTGGGCTGAAGATTCGCTTCGCGCTCTCAGGTCGACCAGGCCTGCTCCCTCGCGGGCCTGGAGCTGTCCACCACTGGCCGCATCAACGGGACAGTGACCGAGGACTCAGGGACGCAGGCATGCAGGCACTGGAAAAAAGAGGGCTGGGCGAGAGGGTGTGTGTTTCGAGTGTGTGTTCTTCCTGTGGATGAAACAGGCCCTCCAGTGCAGCATCACCTTTATCCAAGATCCCATTCGCGGCATCTCCTTCCCGGTCTCCCTGGACGTGACGGTCTCTGAGTTCTCCTACGGCAGCCCGGTGCTCATGTTCAAGGCGGCGACTTTTTTAAACATGTTGTGTCCAAGCTGCTGTTCGAATGGTGCTCCTTGATATAGATTTCCTACATCGGTCCTTCCAGTAGCATAGGGCGCCACCGGCACCACTTGCATCATTGAATGATCATTGATCTCATCGCCAGTGCGCTAGTGGAAAGTTGCAGTTTGCTGTAATTCTGATACTGCATCCGAACGATTCGTGAGTGTGATTGATTGTCATTGCGGGTACCGTGGTCTCGTAGTCGCGCCGATGCGCAGGCATGGGGCCTGGATGACATCGAGGCGGCAGAGGCCACGAAGAACCCCAGGCGCGGCACGACAGCTGAACTGAGCAGCTCGGCGTGAGACAGCGTAAAGGCGTAAAGCGTCACAAAGGGCGGTTTTGAGCTGGGCCTCTGGAAATGACCGGTGCAGTTGCGGGGTGACTGCTCCGCCCTGCCGCCCGAGCTGGCGAATACTCCAACGACACTAGTGAGTCAGTACTTCGTGCCCTTGAGCTCACCCAGCCTGATTCTTCCATCCATGATTCCGTTTTGAGTAATTATTCCGTTGCCCCGATTTCTTTGTTGCGTTGGTTGGCGACTGGGTAAAGCCTGGCTCCCAGGGAGAGGAGTCACCACCAACCATCACCAACCTGTCATTCCGCCAACTTTTCCAGCACAGATGCCCCCAAGCTTACTGTAACATCTGTAACCTGCAGAGGCTCTGGGTAGATCGGTGAGATGACGAGTTTGGGGCTTGCCGAGGATGGCTCAGTACAGAAATCAGACTCACAGACCTCTCTCTCCGTCTCTCTCCGTCTCTCCGTTGCTGTCATATGGTGGGAAGAGAGGCGACGGCGCGGCCTTTGCCCTGCTTTCTAGCTAGGGCAGCTAGGAGCTAGGAGCCACAAAGCACTTGTTGCTCCGAGGTGATTTCGAGCTGGCGTGCGATCCTGCCTGTTCCTGGTTGTCCATCGATGCAAAGACGGGCGAGCTGAAATCCGGACGCAACGCATGGACACAGCAGGGCCTCCCGCCCGACATGTGGGGCGCGGTGCAGGGCTTCCCCGGCGTTCCTGGCTGCAGCTGCAGCGCCTCTGCGGCCAGCGGCGGCAACCGCAGTCTGACCCACTTCGTCGCCCTGCAGGCCCGGTTCTGGAAGGCCCGCATGCCGCATGCTGCCGCATACTTTGTAAGGCTTGAAGGGGGGCACCTCAGAGTGCGAGACGGTGCAGGCAGGCAGCTACGACGGCGACGTGGAGGCCGAGGCCAGCGGGTCTTTGTGCAGCACGAGCAGCATGAGCAGCCGAGCAGCCGGGTCCAGGTGGGCAGCCCCATTGTCCCCGTGCAGCTGCGCGAGGCATTGGGCCCGCGCCTCAAGCAGAGCTTCGTCAACTCCGAACTGTTCAACACAGAAAAGTTCAGGTCCGGGCCTCCGCTGGTACAAGCGGCCGGGCCACCAGCTGAGCGCCCCCGTGATCCAAGACGCCGAGGGCCGGTCCTTCGTGGTGCCCGCGGCCGTGGCTTCCTGCCCGCAGATGTCTGCTTCGGCCTTTCCTGGAGCATTGTCTGGGCTTGGGCGCTTTGTTGAGGTTCCCAGCATCCTGGACGTCCGGTGCACCGCGCCCGGCGTGAAACTCACCTGGTCTCGGATCACCGGTGACGTCTCTTTTGCGGGCGAGGCCGGCATCGAAGCAACAGCCAAAGTGTGAGATTCGCATTGGGCCTTCAAGGGTTGGGGCAATGAATGGGTGATTGTCTTCCGCAACCAAACCTAACAGATCTCTGTGTTTGCATCAGTGCATCTGAGCTTCTTCTAGTTCCTGGTAGGGATGTGTATGGGGCCCAATGTAGGGATATCTCGGAAGCTTTGCTTTGCAGGTGGCCTTCAACCTGGATCCGGACAGCGGCTCCGTCTCCGGGACGCCAGGCCTGGGCCTGATGCAGGCCGCAGGGCGTGCGCGCCTCGACGTGAGCTGTCTCGTGGCTCTTGGAGGCCCCTTTTGGGCGCGTGTTCCAGCGGGTCGCTTAATCAGGATGAGGGCCTTGCCCTGCAGGTCCCCTGTATGATTGAGTCCTCCCCGTGGCCACCATCAACATTCAGCTTTTGGACAACGTGTGCTGGGTCCCGGGGCACCTGCATTTCCAGCTCCACTGGCACAAGTTCAGCTGCGACCAGCTTACCGCTAGTGCCCTACAGCAGTCCATGGGCTCGGAAGTCGCCTCACACCGCCGCAGACGTCGCCACGAGCACAGACGCCGACGCGAGCACCCCAAACATCCTTGCAACAACAGCCACGCCTATCACTCCTGCTTGCAACAGTGCCGCGAAACACCAAGCTGCAGTGCGGTATATTTGGCTGACGGTGAATGCTGGGTGCAAGCCAGCAACGGCAAGCACGTGGAACAGAAAGACGACAAGGAGGGCCGGATGCTTGATTTCAGTTCAGATGAGTCATATTGCGCGCATTTTGTGCATATTGAGCATTTGCGAGCCGAGAGAGATCAGCCTGTCGAGCCAAGGCTGCTTATCCGCGTGGACAACTGTTCCCAGAAAACAGCCGATCTGCTGCTTGAAGCGCCACAGGCCCAGCTCGTCGCCGGCATTTACAGCCCCAGCGACGACTACCACAATTCCGTCTCCTACTCCCGCGCCGGGGCGGCTTCTCCGCAGCTGCCATGCTCTGCGAGGGCAATCGGCTTTCTGCACAGATTGTCGAGGTTTGGGAGTGGAAGCCGAGGTTGTGCCAGAACGCCAACTGGTTCTTGCTCCTGCCACTGCCTTACATCCTGTTCACGTCGCCTGCCCATGACGCTCATGAGATCCCACGGCACTGCCCGGTCCCGAGTCCTGAAGTCCTTTGTCGTGCCCAGGCCAACGACGTGCACCGTTCTCTGCCGAGACAGTGTGAGGGCTCTCACTGGCTGTTGGCCCACGCGAACAGCTCCGACTTCACATCAAGTGCCACTGTGCCGCAGTACTACGGCGAGGTCATGGCCTGCATACAAGGAGACGTGGTGAATGAAACCTTCGACCACGGCGTTGCCAATTTCAGCCTCGAGTTCCTGCACGCCGTGGTTGATGACCCCATGCAGTTCGAGCGGCCTGCGGCCAAGCAGGAGGCCAATCTTTCCATCTCCGCTCCCTCGTGCTCCAAGCCGCAGAGCTCCTCGGAGCTCTTGTATGGCAGCGTCCAGGCTTCGCAATTGTACTCCCTCTCGGCATGCGAGTGCTTCGGGGAAGCCTACGCCAGCACGGACCCAGTCGATCCGGATTCCAATGCAGCCGTCCCACGAAACGTGGACCGAGCCTTCAACGTGAACCCGCTCAAGGACCAGCTGATCTTCACTGGTCCCTATACCTGTGAGGAAAACGCTGGGGACTCAGCAGAGGTAAACATACGTATCCTGTAATCGCAGCACGAAAAGACTGTCCTGATCTGTCCTACCTTTGGGGGGCTGGCGGGCGGCTGAGGCCGTGATGTCGACGATCCAGGGCTTTGAGCTCCAGGAGTGCAAGCAGGCCTGCCACGAGCAAGATGGCCAGTGCCGGTTCTACCTTTTCGAGAAGGCGTCGCAGGTTTGCAGCCTCTTCTCCGCTTGCGATGCCATGCAGTACGTCGGCCTGGACCTGTCGAACGAGCTGTGGGGACTCGCCGGGGTTGGCGAGTACGCTCGTGACTACTGCCGCATCGCGGACCCGCAGGGCTGCTGGGAGGACGTCCTTCGCCGGCGCTATCTGAGCCCGGAGCCCTCGGACTTGCCGCGCTGTGCCTTCCAGGCTCAGCTCGAGGCCTGCGACGCACTTCAGCTGCTCTCAGGCGAAGCATCCGGCACCTGCACCAGGCCACGGGGGATGGGGGAGAGATGTTCGAAAAAAGTTGCAGCGAGCGCAGGCGTTACTATTTTATTTGGTGATACGTGTTGTGCCATGTGTGGGCGTCAGGTGCGAGTATCTGCCTGCAGATCTATCGGAGGTGAAAGCATCCATGGAGAAGATCCCGCTGCCGGAGGAGTTTCCGGCGGGCTCCCAGATTCAGGTGAGCTGCAACGCCACGTCCCGTATGTTTGCGGGCGTGCTGGGCCCACTGCCGAGCACGGTCTTCACCTGTGTGGGTGGCGACTGGGTTGGCGAGGGCTGGCAGGACTTGGAGAACCTGACGTGCCAGCAGTGCGTGCAGGTCGGGACCGAGAGTCTCCAGAGGCTCACGAACGTCTCGCAGGGCGCCGCCTATCTCCTGGCCCAGAGGCGCATCCAGGCCACGTACGGCAGCAGCATACCGGGATGCGAGTCGGCGTCGCTTCCCACGGCCGCCAACCTCGTCTCCATGGTGACAGGCCGGACGCTGCAGGTGGAGAAGGACGGGGCAGGGACCTGCTGTTCCAGGGATGGTATAACGGCAGCTTTGCACTTGCCACGTTTGCCTCTCCTTGCCACGTTGCGCTGCAGGACCGCAATGTGATCCTCGCTTCACCGCGACAGGGCACACTCTGGTGGATTGATGCCGAGACGGGCACACTCCGACTGAAGTCGCCCTTGCTCATGGGAGGCAGCTGGTGCCTGTGCTTCCACCACACTCTTGAGGCCTGCAAGTGCGAGCCTGAAAACGGCTGGACCCTCGACGGACTGGGTCGGCTGAGCAATCAGAGGTCCCAGTGCGTTTGGGAGCAGAATTGCACCGCGCAGGTGGTCACATGCCCCCAAGATCTGCAGACAGGGTCCCTTAGCTTTGCCAGAGCTGTTTTCTGGATCTCAGTCCCTGGCCTGTCTTTGGGTTCCTTCTCGAAGAGACTTGCAGTTGCAGGAACCGCTGGTACTTTGACGGCGGCAACTGCGTTCTGAAGATGGCCATGGTGGACACAGCAGAGCTCACATGGAACGTCTCCGTGGAGGCTGGATCCAGCCTGCTTCTGGCTGAGATCACCCAAGACTTGACTGGCATCGGCTCCTTCCGCATCCACAATGACAAGCGCCATCGATGCACGCATGAACCGCTCTGTCGCCGCGCTTCGCTCAGCCCAAGTTTTTTTTAAATTTTCCCAGAACCTCATGCCAAACTAAGGTTCCCGGAGTATTCCCTGTCTGTCCAGCCCGACGGCGCAGTAGTCGCTTCGTACAAGTCGGATTTCCCGTGGCTGAAGCAGGGGAGAAAGATCTTGTACTCCGACCTTGGGCCACTCGGTTCTCCTGATATTAGCTACAGTTGCTGTAGGTCCTGCCACGCGGAAGTTTCTTTCCCAGGCTCGCAATCGTTGCAGAACCCAGGATCGACAAGTATTTGCTGGGACTCAACAACGGAAGCCTCCGCCTGGGAAATGCCACACAGGCGAATGGATTTGAGGGGCAGTGGACCTGCGACCAAGATAATGTTCTGATGAGGGCTGCGCACCTTGGGCCCTCCGGGTGCATCCAGGGGCCGATCCTCTCCTGCATCAACCTGCTTCCGTACGAGAAGAGGTATCTTTATGCTCCGGTGGCTACACCATACCAGACGTATTGCAAAGATGGTCAATGCCTTGCAGGACCTGCAGTATTTGAGCTGGAATGCCCAGGCCCAAGCGGATTTCTACGTGGCTGGAGGAGCCCGTATGAGAAAAATGGAAACCGTCTAGAGTGGAAGTTCATCAATTTCGACTGCCTTGTATGGCCGAACGAGTGCCTGGATCATTCAGGAGGGGCCTGGCATTGGGAGTCGCAGTGCACACACCACTCGGTGACGGCGGCCATCCGAAGTCTCGATAGTGTTGCAATGAGCGAAGCTCTGTACCAGGTTGACAAGTCCGTCTCCTGTGCTCACCCTACAGCGATGTCGAAGATTTCCTTCAACATCTCTGCACCCAGTTCAACATTGACATTTCACTGGACATGCTGCGCCACGACACCTGGCGTACTCTCGAAGACTGTGACCGTGCTCGGAATGAATTGGTTTGATGATGCCGAGTTGGCCGGGGTAACCACGCCCACGTGCCCTGATCACCACGTTGTGGTGGGGTTTGGGCAATATTCTGCGGAAGTGTATTGCGGACATCTTGCGGCGCCAGCGGGCCCCGAAATCACTATCGCAGAATTGGGCCACCCAACCTTCCGCCCGCTGCTCTTGTTTCCAGAGCAAACCCGCGGAAAGTGTTCCGAGTACAATCGGTGGTTTTGCGGAGGAATGCGAGGGGTGCCGCTGGGCACGTGTGAGGCAGAGGTCTTCGTGGAGACGCCATTCACCGCTGCGTTTGCAAAAGGCAAGGGAGCCTGCGTGTCCGTGACCGGAAGCCAGCCCACTCACGTTGTGAAGGTTTCAGATGAGGTCAAGTGGCGGTGCGGTACTAACGATGCTTGCTTTGCCTTTCAGAGCGACGGCTCGGACGTTGGGCCCGGATCTCTCTTCATGGAGGCAGTGAAGGCATCTGGAGGTGATGGCGACTGCTCCGTGAAAACTGTGAGCTCGTGGTCAGCGGAAGCAGAGTCCGTGCCGCTGACCCTCGCAGTCCAGGACAGGGGCCTCCCACGAGCTACGCAGGAGGCCTACAACGCCACCAAGGTCATCGAGCTAAGGAGCAGCGAAGAGGTGCGCGATGCTCCATCCTTGCAAGGGCTTTTGACAAGTCTTCTTTTCGCAATTGTTCGTCCTGCCTGCAAAGCACAGCCTGGTTCCCTGAGGTCGATTCCCAGTTGCTCTTCAGCTGCATGCCCGATGCGATCACCAGTGATGCCCCAGTGTCGTGGCCGCCCTACGTCCGCTGTGGCATTGCCACCATGAGACTCAGGGACCTCACAGGTGCAGTCGGGGTGCGTCTCGGTTCAAAGTACAAGCTCCATGTGCTTGGTCTCTCAATTCCAGCCCTGCTTGCAGTGTCATCCGTGCCGGTTCTGCAGTTCTGCAGGTACGAGGGCAGGAAGAGCAAGACCTCCTTCTTAAATCGAGCCATCAAGAAGACCTGCGCCTCCCTCGTGAAAGCTACAAGCTCGAACGCAGGCGATGCCAGCATGACGGGCATGAAGCTCTTAACACTCCTCCAGGGCCAGAAGTACTTCAGCACCAGCATGGGAGACCCACAGCTGCCTCCTTTCAACCAGTCCGGGAACACCCACCCGTGGCTGCTCGGGCACGGCAGCTTGACGCGGCTTGGCAAGATCACGTGGGGGCTCAATTGCCCGGAAGGTGCCATCGTGACGAGCAGCCCCACCACGCAGCCACACTGCCTGCAGGTAGGGGCGGGCGCCCAGACCTGGATTGAGGTGCTTTCCGGCTCGGCCTTGTGCCCTTCAGGCAGCGCCGTCTCGGGCTGGTACAACCTCCCTGGCGAGCCGGTGCAGGGCAATGGCGCCGGCGGGCCGGCGCATTTTGTGGGAATGCGGCTCTTTTGCCGCAAGACGAATCTGCTCGCCAACTGCCAGCAGCTCATGAACCCTTCCTGTCAAAAAGGAGAGGTTCTCGCTGGCATCGGCTACAGCAGCGACAGCATGAGGGTGAAGTGCTGCAAGCTCCAGCAAAAAGTCGGCCTGCGTCTGATGCCCCAAGAGCCCCAAGGCAGGAAGGAAGCGCAGAAGGACTTCCAAGGCTACTACTGCCCTACCGGCATCGACAGCACCGGCGCGCCCTTCTACACCAGGCGCCACGCTCAGCTAGCTCGGGAACCCCTCGTAATGGGTCACGTGACCGTGTAACTTCGAGGCGACATGCTGGCTCACTGTGCTTTGGCATTAGCTCGGTAGCTGCCAAGGACTCTGATCCGCGCGCTTGGCAAGCTCCATGAGTCCGGAGCGAATGCCACGCTCAGCTGGGACAAGCCCCTTGCGCCGCAAGATGCTGTAGCGTTTTTGTTTGTGTCTGTGTGTGTGTGCGCGTGTGTGCGTGTGCGTGTGTTTGTTGTTGCGTCTCTCGCCCAAGCCACCAACCGTCACCAACCCTCTTCACCTCGGTGCCCTCGACGGCCAGGTGGACAGCCGAGTGGCAGGTGCGGGTCAACCACACCGTGGTCAGCTCCTTCCGCAGCGACGCAGTCCTGCCCGCGGAGATTGACTTCTCGTCGGGGGACAAGTTCTCTGCGGTCCCCATCGTTCCAATGCCATCCTTCGCCAAGAAGCCTCCGCCTGCCAGCCCCTTCCCCCAGCACCCGCCGACCTTCCCGAAGCTGCTGAAGTTCCACCCGGTGCAGCCCGACTACAAGGCGTACTGCGACCCCACCTTCCTCCAGAACCCAGCGCTCTTCTCCGGCAGGGTGGAGGAGGGCAACCCATGTTACCACACCTTCAATGCGGAGAAGCCAGTCCAAGGCCTTCCCAAAGGCATCACGGAGGAGGACGGGGCACCGTGCTTCAGTAGATCATATTAGAAGATCTAAGGCCAGGGGCCAAGCCATCTGATTCCTTGAAGAGGACTTCTGGCAGGCGAGCGGCCGCTCCCAGACGCGTCAGTACCTCTTCGCCCACGCGGCCTCTGAGCAGAACAAGCTGGAGAATTGGGTGCAGAAGGAGATCGGCAAGCCGGGGCCTCGGGTCCCCGAGCTCGGAAAGGGAGAGCATGCCGAGGAATCCTTTTCAGGTATATAAACAGCCTGCAGACCTGTGGTAAATTGTTGTCGTTGAGCACGTGTCCCGCCACAAACTTCGACCTCCAGCCTTGTCTTGTCCCCTTCGAATGAGCCGCAACTGTAGGATTCAGAACCGGAGCAGCCAGGCTCCAAGATGCCGCCGACATCGCGGCGCTGGTTGCGGCAGTGGCCACCGCCATCCCCTGGGGTAGCTACTCCAGCCCTGCGAGTGCTGCCAAAAAGGCGCCTCACTGTTAAGCTACATGTTTGCGCATGTTGTCCGACTGTCCTCTTGCATGTGCCAGCGCTGTCCAGGTTGCCTCAAAAGAGGGTGAGAAGGTTGCCAAGAAGATCGTTGAGAAGAAGGTGGTGCAGGCCCTGATCTCCAAGGCAAAGGCTTTCGCCAGCAAGGCCAGGCGGCACGGCACGCATGGAGCGCATGTCACTTCTCCTCTGGAAGATGCCTTGGCAAGGTCAAGGGCATTGCCTCCAAGTCCATCAAGACAGCCTCCAACGCCTACGCCAAGGCCCAAAAAACGGTGGATGCGGTCAAAGCTCGCTACGACAAGGCGAAGCAGACCTACAACCAAGTCAAAGGCCTGCCAGGGCAGGCGCAGAAGAAGGTCCAGCAGGGCTTCGGCTGCTTGGAAGCATCATGCGTCAACCGGGGGTACGAGTTGGAGTCGGCTTCGTGAGATGTTGGCGACCTTTTCTTTGGCTTCCCCTCCTGCCCTTGATGACGCTTTATATATATATATATATATATATATATGTGTATGTACATATGTGTGCCCACAGGCTATGTGACCCAGAAGGAGACGGAAGCAGAAAACACAGCGTCGTCAGTGGCAGGACAGGTGCAGAGCGGGGTGTCGACGGCGGAGGGAGACATCGCCGATGCGGAGTCCGTCATCAATAACTACTCGCCGATCAAGATTCCCTCAGAGTTGCAGCTGAAGAAGAGCGGGCAGAAGCTGCAGGCCAAGACGCTCCCGCAGCCCGCGCAACCTGGCGGAGACAGCTATGCCAACGCGGAATCCAAGAGCAAGGCGGATTACGCGGATTGGATGCCCCTGCAGTACGGCCTGTCCAAGGTTATGTGCGACCTCTTCTGCATCCACAACTCTGTAGCTAGGCCTCGCAGTTGTTCTTGCTAACTGGTGCTGAGTCCCGGGTTGTTGTTTGACATGGCCCGTCAAGACTGGTTCTCGAGCTTGCTGAACCTCCGCTCAAGGGCAGTATACACCGTAACGACGTAACTTAGGTTTGGACGCAATTTTGCAAGAACCCGATCAAAACACCTGGCACAGTTCTTTGCTGCAAGCTTGCTGCAGAAGTGTCTTGGGCCGGCGAGGGCAGGTTTTCCGGAAACCTGAGGTTACTGCCGGCACGTCGGCGGTGCTCCAGAGTCTGCAGAAGTCCCAAGAGGTGCTCACGACCAACATTGAGCAGCTGCTGCATTACCAGACGCAGTACCTCCTCTACAAGATCGGCTTCCTGCAGCCGCAGACGGCGCTAGAGCTGTCCGAGGCTCCCTCAACAGCAGAGCTCCTGGAGGACTCCGCCGAACCCGGGGCCTTGCAGCACAGGCGCCGGTGCGTAGACCCCCCCCCCCCAAAAAAAAATGGGCAAAACAAGGAGGGAGCTGAGCAGGAAAGCATAAAAAAGGGTAGGTACATAGAGGGTGGGGGGCGGGGCACCTTTATATATATATATATATACACACACATACGTACGTGTGTTTGTGTGCACTTGTATGTGCATGATTGTGCATGTATATGCATGTGGTGGTATATGTATACCGTACACATACACGTCTACGTCTACGGCTGTGTATGTGTATATGTACATATATGTGTCTCTTAATTATCGCTCTGGTGGGTAGAAATTAGGAGATCAGTTTGGCGATCGTTGGAACAGCCCTGATCATGTGATTTCCGTGGCCATTTTGGCGATAGCCGATCGGCCATACTGAAATGTCCCACCCACTCCGCCCTTTTCGTTCTTTTCGGTATGGGGGATCCCATGAAATCCCCTGAGCCAAGCCCAAGATCGGGTGGGTTTGCAGGCGCTCGCCTTCGGCACCCACGAACAGCTCTGTCGTCCTTGTGTCGACTGTGGGCTCTACACGGGATGCTTTTGTGATGGCGATGGGGAGCTTGCCGCGGGAGGAATGGGCTCCTAATCAGCTCACTCCTCTCTGCACGGCCTGCGATCGCAGGTTCGACATGTGCCACTTCTGCCGGGGGATCCCTTGGGTGATGCTGCCGGCTCATCAAGATCGTGATCGGCATCAGCCCGCTGGGCTGGGGGACGGGGCGGATCCACCCCTGAACCTGGATCAGCCGATCTACTATCTCGTTCCTGAAGGCACTGACGCTCGCCCTTGTCAAGGCATGCTCGCCAAGGCTCCGCCTGTGATGAGGAATGTCGGCCCTGCTCCAAAGCCGGCTCCCCGCGGTATGCCTCTGGATCCAAGGCCTACCGTTTCTGGCTACGGCGGCGGCTCATCGTCGTGCGAAGGCCAAAGCAGTTCCAGAAGACTTTTAATTTTGTGGCGGGGAATATCGCTCATCTGATGTGTCCGATCGGAATGATGTTGCGGTCTTTGGCGAATGCCATTGCACACCCCCGGTGATCGGGGTTCCGATCGGAAATGTGAAAGATCGAGTGAAGTTTTGATCTGAGTTGTGGCCGACTCCCACGTTGCTCTCGCACAAAAAGGGACCGCCACCTTTGGCTGCTCAGCGAGGGAACCGAGCGAGTGCGATCCTAGAGACTGACATGCGCATGTACATGTGCATGGATGTATGCACATATGTCTCTATGCCTGTGCGTCTGTCTGCTGTGTATATACGTATGTATGGATGTGTATACAATGTACGTGCCTATGTATCGATGCGTCTATGTTTCTGCATATCTGCGTATGTGTGTATGCACGATGCATGTACGCACTCATCCAGGCATGTATGATGTATTTATGAATGAGTTGGTGTTTGTTTGTATGTATGTGTGCATTTGCGCATGCATGCATAAGACGGATATGTATATTCGTATATACATAATGTGGCGGTCGGTTTAATAGTGGGGTACCCCCCCCCCCCCCGTGGCTGAGGAAAACCGGGTCTATTTGGAAGCTACCGTTCGGTAAATATACTCACACAACGATTGAAGAAGCTCTTTGTTCTAGATTTTCAACGACATCTCCCCACATTTGAACGTCGCTGGCTTGCCCTGTACCATCACTCAATAGAGTCATTCCGCTTGAAGTTCAAGGCTGGCCCACTGCTTTTGGGGTTAGGCATGTCTTTTCGGGTTTACGCGCCTCTGGCGCACTCTTTGCCGCCATGTCCACTCCTTTTGGGCTTCCTGGTTGTACCAAACTTCTCTCAGTCTTTGCGGTTCATGCAATCCTTTCAGGTTTCTGCCTTTTCGGCTTCAGGTTTTCCATTCATTTTCTCGTGACAATCGACCGCTCTTTTAGCGTTTTCATAGTCTCTTACCTGGGTTTTCGGTTCTGCACTTCATGATATCCGATTGGGTTTTTGGGCCACCATCCACTCCTACATCAGGTTCTGATAAGGTTCGGATGGTAGAAACCAGCCACTCGATTGAGGGTGTTGGGCTTATGGAAGCAACCAATCTGTGTTGGATTTTAGGTCAGCTCTGCTTGGGGTTGGTGACGCACTTACCACGCATCATTTCCTAGCTTGGTTCACCAGTGTGGCCCACCCCTTCTCGGGTCCACCTTTTTGATTTTTTGGCACCGTGCTTTCAATCTAAGCGGCTTAAAGTTTTCGGAACCAAGCGTAGACTTTCATGTCTTGGCTTACCACCCATCTTCGCCTGTTGGCTTGGGATCTGGCCTCACATTTGAAAATGTATGTAACGTTACATACAGACCACCTATTCATTTGTAAATCTATCCGTCTACCTACCCATACCTACCCTATCTATCTATCTATCTACCTATCTGCTTATCTTGTTGTCCTTCTATTTATCTGTCTACCTAGTGCGTTTGAGGCTGGGGAATTCCGGAACGAATCCTTGCTTCTAAAGCTTAAGCTTTCAGCGCTTTGGGACTACCGCCAAGTTTCTCTCCTCGACTTCGGATCTGGCTTCATTTTGGGTGCCAGCCTATTTTGCGTGCGAAATTCTGGCGCGTCTGCCGCGTATGTATATATGTATACCGCCACGTCATGATCTCTTATCAACGTTTCGATTCTTCACTTCATGATATCCGATTGGGTTTTTGGGCCACCATCCACTCCTACATCAGGTTCTGATAAGGTTCGGATGGTAGAAACCAGCCACTCGATTGAGGGTGTTGGGCTTAGGGAAGCAACCAATCTGTGTTGGAATTTAGGTCAGCTCTACGCTCAGCAGCCTGCCATTTCTTGGTGGGTTTCCAACTTACCACGCATAATCTCCTAGCTTGGTTCACCAGTGTGGCCCACCCAGTCTCGGGTTTATCTGTTTGATTCTTTTGGCACCGTGCCTTCAATCTAAGCGGCTTAAGGTTTTCGGAACCAATCATTCCTTTTGAGGCGTAGACTTTCATGTCTTGGTTTACCACCCATCTTCGCCTGTTGGCTTGGGATCTGGCCTCACGTTTTCACTCCAATTACGGGGCACCGGCCGGCTACCGTGCGTGCGATTCCGCGCAGCTCCATGCGCATCTGAACATGTATGTGCCATCACATACAGACCAACTACTTATTTGCGGACCTATCCGTCTATCTATCCCTCTACCTTTTTGCTTGTCTTATTATCTAGCTATCTATCTATCATCTAAGTATCTATCTATGTATCTATCTATCTATCTAGTGCCTTAAAGGCTAGTCGGTTAGCCACTCCTTCAGGGGTCCACGTTTTTAACACCCTTCAATCGTGGCGGTTTAGGGGTTTCCGGAACCAATCCTTCCTTCTGAAGCATAAGCTTTTAGCTCTTTGGGACTACCGCCAATCTTCTCTCGTTGACTTCGGATCTGGTTTCATTTTCGCAACAATTACGGGGTTCCAGCCTACTAAGCGTGCGAAACCGTGAGAAATACCGACGCATCTGCCTACGTTAGAACATGCATGTGTCACGATATGTGTATATGCATCGCTACGTACATATGTAGACGACACAGAGCTGTATCACAATACACAGCTGACATAATTATGTATGTACGCATGTATGTGTATATATGTATGTATGTATATATATACATATATGTATATATCTATTGATATATGTATATTAGTTCTGTATATTATATATACATATGCTAACAAAGAGAGAGAGAGAGAGAGAGAGAGAGAGAGAGAGAGAGAGAGACAGAGAGAGAGAGAGAGGGCACGTACATATGTACGGTTTATATATGACATGCTAAAACATGCGGCCAAAGTATTTGTGCATGTATCCTAAACAAACATATGTATCTACAGCCATACATATATACATATCGAAATTCAGACAAGGGCCCTCTACCTCATGCTCGACAAGAAGACACTGAGAGCTTCTTCCAATCTAGGCCCCTCCAAGATATCAAGAAAAGAAAGTTCCGCTTACCGCTCAGTCGGCACGAAGAGACCTCCTTTTTGTTTAGGTAAGAGACGAAGACCCTGACTATCCCTTTCACCCTTCGAAACATGGAAGAGAGCTTGTCATGCTCAAGAAGAAAGGTGGAGCTCCCTCCAACCCTGAAACAAAGAAGTCTGGTCCTTCCCTGAAGTTTCACAAGGAAAAGAGTGCTCCTCCACCCCATGCTGTTCCATGAAGACAGCTCCCCTCAGTCATTCGCGGTAAGAGAGGAGAACTTCTTTCTAGAAGAGAACTCCTTTGTTTCTAGAAGAGAACTCCTTTGCCGCGAGTCTCAATCCGGAGAAGAGTGAAGAGATCTCACTCCTAGTAAGAAAAGACAGAAACCCCCACCAATGTATAGGTTCTCTACCTCGCTATGGCAAGCAAGAAAAAGCTCCCTCCAAGTTGACGAGGGCTCCTTCATCTGTTGGTAAAAGAAAAAATCCTCTGCCGGGTCCTGTACCCAACAACTCAGAAGAGAGGCCCCTCTGATTTCTTGAGCAAGAAGAGAGCTCTGTTGACTTCTCTGTCGACAAGAAGAAAGACTCCTTTTCTCTCGCAGGGGCGCACGCGCCCGACCATCTCCTCCTCCTCTTCAAAACTTGGAAAAGCGCTTACGATCAAGCTCCGAACTTCAAACCTTGACAAGGGAAGTCTGGTTCTCCCTGCGGCCTGCAAAGCGACATCAAAAATACCTCCACCTCATTTTTTGAGACAAGAACAGAGCTCTCTCCAAGTTACCAAAAGAGAGATTAGAGCTTCTTTCTACAAAAGAGCACCTTTACCTTTTGCAAGGTTTTTCATCCTGATCTTAAGCACACCAAGGTAAGCACGCTACCGGTAAATATGGTCAGAGCTCCCTCCGTCTTCCAAACAACGTATAAGATCTATACCCCGTCCTCAACAACAAGAAAGCTTCCTCCAACGTAGTAGTATTGAGAAAGAAAAGGGCCCCATCTCAAAATAGCAGACAAGTAGCAGAGAGCTCTGTTTACCGCTCCCGTCGCCAGGAAAAGACCGGGAATAAGAGAGCTCCTGACTATCTCGTCCTCGCCCCCTGTGCCCAGCCTTCAACAACGACAAGATAAATCCTTTACTTCATGCTCCAAAACAAGAACAGAGCTTCCTCCAAGTTACTCTTGGCAAGAGAAGAAAACTTCTTTGAAGAGAACAACTCCATTATCTCTTGCTAAGTCGCCTCTTATTGTTGATTTCAACAATTATGCATAAGTTCTTTACTTCATCAAAAACAACACTAGGATAGCTCGCTGCAATGAAATGAGAACAGAAAAAGAGC